GCGTACCGAATCTACTCGTATGAGAACATGTGAACAGGTAGATAACTCTCGAGGGAGAGCGACCTGTCGATGTTGTATTCGAGTTGACACCGGAGACAGCGTTCGCATAAATGCAGACAGTCGATGGACGTAGTCTGATTTACCGAAATCATTACTGCTCCGTGGTGTGAAGAATTCCCCAGGCAGACGCAATGTCGTGCCGTATACAGGTTCAGCGGCGGAACATTGGATATCTGCCTTCAAACTCGTTCTGATGCCTAAGAGAACGAGCGGTAAGGTTTCGTACCAATTGACGTTTTCGTGTGCTCGAAGAGCACTTTTAAGTTGGCGATGAAACCGTTCGACTAAACCATTCGATGCTGGATGGTAGGCGGTAGTGCGTATGCGTTCCGTACCAAGCAGCCGGGTCAGTGAGCAACTGTCTCCGCCGAGATAGACGTGATGGGAATAGCTTCGAGCCATCTTGTAAAACGTTCAGTGCACGTGAGTATGTGATCATACCCATGCGATGGTGGCAATGGTCCTACAATGTCTATATGAACGTGATCAAAGCGAGCATCAGGCGTAGCGAACGTGCCAATGAGAGCAGCTACGTGCCTGTGCACTTTTGATCGTTGACACTGTAAGCATTGCCTTACCCACATACGAACATCTTTATTCATGGACGGCCAGACGTATCGTGCAGCGATGAGGCGTAATGTGGCTGCGATACCTGGATGAGACAATCCATGAAGGGTATCGAAGACGAGACGGCGATAGGTAGAGGGTACGACGGGTCGAGGAAGACCGGTAGAAATATCACATAGGATAGTACCTGAGCTAGTAGCTAGGAGTACTTCCTGACACTGAAGGGACGAAGATTGTGGTGCTTCTGTACAGACAGGATCGTTTGCTTGCGCGGCGGCCATAGCAGGAAGATCGAGCACCGGTAAGGTAACTGCATTCGTCTGGATGCGTGAAAGAGCATCGGCAACATAGTTCGACTCGCCTTTAATGTGACGAAGGTCTGTCGTGAACTGGGAGATATAGTCCAAATGTCTGCACTCTCGTGGTGAGTAGCGGTCAGACTTGGTATGCAGGGCATACGTTAAGGGCTTATGGTCGTTGAATAAAATGAATTGGCGTCCTTCTACTGCGTGCCGGAAATGTTTGATGGCGCAGTAGGCTGCAAGTAGCTCGCGACCAAAAGCGCTATATCTCGTCTTCGTGGGAGTAAGGCGTCGTGAGAAAAATTCAAGCGGTTGCCAACTACCGGAGATATTCTGTTGCATGACGGCTCCTATAGCGAAATCTGATGCATCAACTGCTATACTAAGCGTGGCTGATGGGTCAGGATGAGCGAGAAGTGTAACTTGAGCGAGAGCCGTTTTGATCTCTGAGAATGCAGTACGTGCGGTATCGTTCAATTCTAATTTGCGTGGATTACCGCGTAGTAAATCGGTTAATGGTCGTAACCGTTCTGCCGCGTGAGGGATAAAACGTCGGTAGAAGTTAACCAAACCGAGAAAAGCCTTCAGTTCCTTGATTGAGGACGGCACGTTGTACTCCTTGATTGCTCGAACTTTGTCCTCGCAAGGCAGAATACCCTCTTGTCTGATGATGTGACCCAGAAATATCATTTCTGATTTACCCAATTCACATTTCTCTGGGTTGACTACTATTCCATTATCCGAAAGACGTTGGAATAATAGCGTAAGGTGTTGATAATGTTCATCTACATTTGATGATGCGATCAGCAGGTCATCAATATAGACGTGAACAAAATCCAAGTCTCGTACTATGCTATCGATAAACCTTTGGAAAGTTTGAGCAGCATTCCGTAATCCAAATGGCATTCGTAGGAACTCAAACAGACCGAACGGAGTCGTGATAGCAGTTTTCTCGATGTCTTCAAGAGCGACTGGGATCTGGTGATATGCTCGTACCAGATCGATTTTAGAAAAGATAGTCGTGCCCTTGAGCGATGCCGTGATGTCGTGTATGTGGGGGATGGGGAAACTATCAAAACGCGTAACTACGTTTAATGCTCGGTAGTCGCCGCATGGTCTCCAACTAACCCCATCCTTTTTGCGCACCATGTGTAAAGGAGAGGCCCAAGGACTGTGAGAAGGACGAATAATACCAGCAGATAGCAAATTGTCAAACTCACGTTTAGCGAAGGCTAATTTATCCGGTGCCAGTCGGCGTGGTCTTGCCGTGACTGGTGGTCCGCGGGTGACCATGTGGTGTACCACACGATTGGTCACCGATGAAATCTCCTCGAGTGGTTTAGATATTCTGGGGAATTTCTCGAATAAAGCGTGGAATTTATCGTCACGCGAATAAAAAGTGCCGAGGATTCGGTACGCGTTTGTGTGAGCTTTAAAGCCCATGAATTTGCTGTTCGACGAAGTATCGATTAGCTGCAGCCTACGTGAATCGACTAGCAATTCATAGTGCTGTAGGAAATCAATACCTAGTATGGCTGTGGGAACATCAGCAATGATGAACGTCCACAGATACCGTCGTCGGTTGCCCAGGTTGACCGCGAGTTGTCGTGTGCCGTAGGTAGGAATGGCTGAGCCATTTGCAGCGCGAAGTCGAAGCATTGTAGCTTGTGACTTGATGATACCTCGTGTTACGACAGAAACTTGGGCACCTGTATCCACTAGGTACCTAGCGTTTGTGCGATAATCGTGCACGTAAAATAAACGGCCAACCTGGGGGGCAGGGCCGGCGATTACGGCCGCTTTCACTCGCCGGCTTTGGAGTTTCCCGCCTTGTATGAGCACGGAGCTCGACAACGGCGGGCACCAGATCCGAAGGATCGATGAAACCAGCACCAACCTTCACTCGCTTCCGAAGCCGCCTTTTGGCGTGGCTTGGAAGATGCCCTCGTTGGGCGAGTGTTGACGGCTTTTCGAGAGCGTGAGCGGACTCGAGGGACGTAGGGTTGGGGTACGTTACAACGGTCTCGAAAACTAAGACGTGTGTGAATACACCCTCCCCTGTCACCTTGAGCCGAGGAGTGGCTGCCGTCGATATCGACTTTCGGACGCGACGTTGAGGCAACTACGTAGTTGTCTCGGTTGCCAGTCCTAGCTAGAATTTTGTCTGCTGTGAGAACTACCTGTTTCAGTGGTGCGTCCTCGAACAGGGCCGTAACTGTAGGTTGGATAAATGCTGGTAGAGATTCGAGCCACAGTTCTTTAACAATTTCAGAATCGGCTCCCGTGGGTCCTGCAAGAGATTGCAGGCGCGTGAGGTGGTGGCTCGGTTTAGCATCACCCAGGGGGTGACGTGCTAATAACGTCCTCAATCGTTCCTCCCTCGATGGGAGGAAATGTCTGAGGATCGCCTCCTTAAGACGATTGTAAACATTAGGCACATTGGAATTGAGGACAACCTCACGGACAGCTACCAAATGGTCTCCCGGTAAACATTCGAGAGCGTAAGTGTACTTCTGCCGTTGGCTTGTAATATGACGGGTCTCAAATTGAGACTCTATAGCAGCAAACCAAACTTCGGGATCGTGAGGAATAAAAGATACAGGTCGAAAGTGTATAACCTGTACGTCAGAGTCTATTACGTTAATACTATTCTTATCGTTATCCGTCATGTCAAATATATTATATGTTAAAAATTAATATGAAAATATATGACAGACGTGGATAGATAAGCGATAGACTCACCAAAATTGACTTCTTTCGAAGGTTTGGTTGCGATTGCCAAGTGGTCGTAGATGTAGATTCACCAGTTGCAGAAGATTTGACCGAAGTTGAGGCGTGTTCCAATATTTGGCTCACCAAATGTAGCGTGGTGTCGAGTTGAGCTTAACTATGAACACCGCTACAAGACTACGTGCCAATAGACCAATAAGATTCCTGTAGGCCAAAATTCAGAAGGCAGATGATAGTAGTAGTCGTAATATATTTGTTGGCAATCTCGTGGTATCGAAAGAATACCGAGATCGTGCCAAAGGAGTACAAACGTGGTTACTAAGCGTAACCGAATTCGTACAAGTTAACGGGAGAGTAAGTATAATGGCTGTCATTAGCACAGTTAAACAAACGAGCACAGTAAAACAGTCACTGGTACAATTGGTTATAATAATAATTGTTTTCATCGAACCAATCGCGTTCTGTTGACAAAAGTAGGTCACTACAGCTTCAGAAACATGGCATTACTGTAAACATTCATAAATGTCAGATTAGAACCGACTACCTGAATTTTCTCGGATACGATGTTGGTGCTCAGGGCATCATCCCGATGAAAAAAACAGTGGCAACCGTTCTGAATTATTCATAACTGATCACAGTTAAGCAGTTCAACGGCCCGGTAAGCTTTTATCGATGGTTCATACTGAACTGTGCATCTCTTATGGGACCCTTAACATTCCAACATCGTGGAAACATGAAACCCATCAATTTGGATGACAGCGCAATAAAGCGCTCCACATAAGTAAGGAAATTGCTGCAAAAGCAACTGTACTCGCAAACCAGGACATCAAAGTACCTATTGGTATAGTAGCAGACGCACCCGACTCGGCAATCGGAGGAGACTTACAAAAATAGGTAAACGACAACTGGCAACTTTTTATCATCCTTCTCAAAACGGTTGCAAGACTCTGATTCGAGCTATCGCACTTTCAATAGGGAACTCCTAGTTGTCCGTTATGCTGTACGACACATTCAACACTATGTGAAAGGTCGACAATTCATTATGTCCACCGACCATAAATCTCTCAACTTTGCTGTGAGAACGTCTCTCAAAAAGTCCCCCCACTCGACAGTCTCAACGACTAGACTGCATTTCGTAAGGTAATGTTTCCAGAACACTTGAAATACTACCGAGCATAGGAAACTGCGTACGATTTTCTTGTATCTCGTTTGTTTGTATTAATTCATCAAGAAAACTAAACATGTTTTTTCTCTTATGTGCTCGTGTATGTGTATATTTCTTTTTCTAAACAATCCAAAGAATAATTGTTATGAGAAAGTGTTTTATTACGCTATCATCCTCATCAATGCAAGGGCGAATCTAAGTCTAGTGTGCTGGATGTCCTTACTCTGGCAACTGTCCACAATATTTACTGTCATGGTAGGTCGTTGTGGTTTAGGTATAGATTTTGATTTACTGGATCTCATAACATGATCCATTACTCACCAGAATAAACGGGTAAAATAGAACCATTCCGAAGAAATCTTGCTGAAAACCTGTTGGAGGTTTTATTAAAATACGATCGAAAACCTGTATATGCAATGCTCCAGATTTTATCCCTCAAACTCAAACTTTATCAAGGTTTATGCAGGTGAAAACAGGACTTTTTGAAAAAACTCAGAATTTTCACTGCTTTTGTAAATGTGCTATTAATTCTTCCATAATTTCGGAAGGCACATTAGGCGTCCAAGATAAATCCTCCGTATTTTCAGTGACGGGGTAATCTCCCGATTTTCACAAGGGAACGCGTCTCTTTAAATTCTAGAGATCTAGATCTTAATAACATCTTTCCCCCTATTTGTGCCTTTATAAAGCTGGTCGTCTAGTAACTTCAAAAAGGTGGCTATTGCTTATATCACACCACAGCATTTGTACCTGACATCAAAATTTATATGACAATAGGCGGTTCTGACCAAATGGCATATTATCTCCATACAAGAAACCATAGTTAAAGTTCATTTATGTTATCAACACTCGAAGTACCTAACATTTTATTTATGTAAGGCTGTAACAAGGAGTATCGTATCGTAAGTGTCGATAGATCTAAATGAACCGAACACATGCAAAAAATTTTACGTAAGTTCCCCTTACATTGTATTATGAAAAGTAATCAGAATAATTTTTTAGCATTGCTTCTAACTTAGATCAGAAGTACTCTGGTAAAATAAAATATTGATCAGTGATATGGCGAAATTACCAATGTTAATATTTCCTTAACTATAAGTATTTCAAAGAATACACAGTTTAAAGGAATAAATGAAAAGTAAGGGAAAATACTCCATAGATTAGCCTCATCCCTAGGCTTTGTTGACGCGATACATGTACATATGGATGCATGTGCATATGGACTTAAGAAAATAATGTTTACTAAGATAGTTTGCGCAGAAAGATTCATGCAGAATAGACGACCTGCTGTAAATTCAATTAGTACTATATAAGCCTGTTGAAAATGATGTGTTTATTAATGGACAAATTCTACATAAACTAGTAATATTAACATAAAAATATTAAGCATGTAAGTATATAATAAACAGCCTGATTGATTTAATACTTAGATTTTCTTTCGATCTTAGCCCGCGTTTATTTACTTTTTCTCTCACGTAGTGCACTAAGCTTTAACTAGCGAAATCTTTGACTTGTTAAATGTCTTAGATAAGGAACAACTTTTGAGCCTATAACATAAAACACCTGACCAATAGTGTTTGCTGTGATTATGACTTACTGTAAATCTTTGTGGGAAAATGTGTTATCATTAATACCCAACTTGCTGTCTGTCCCGTAGAAAGCATAAATAGTCCAAAGTTCCGGTGGTATTCCGTAATCAAGAATTGGTTTTGTTGACTTACAAAAATCATTTTCAGTGACCACTGAAAATTTTGTAAGAAATGACAGTTGCAACTCACAAACTGTCCAGGGAGTTTTGATCGTTTAATGCGGTTTCTGTCGTACGTAGTTTTTCTGATGTCTGAAGTGAAACTTCCAAAGTAAGCGGTCTATGCTGGATGTTCTTTTTTGAATTTCAATGAGTGAGCTTTAATGTAAGCGGTCAAATTATTTATCTGATTAGATAAATCGCCGATAACTAACATTATTATATCAGTGGTGGTATGACAACCCTGACAGTTGTAAGCACAAAAATAAGTTTCAATACAATTTACTCGGTTACCAGGTTTTGTGATGTACATCCTATTATATATATATATATATATATATATATATATATATATATATATATATATATGCAATAAATGACGCAAGTTGGCTAACACCAACCTGGATTTCTGAATCTGCACAGAGATTTCGTCAGACAACCCTTCAAGCCTGATGGAACCTCCAAAATAAATTGTGTGTTGACGCACTCAGCTTCTTCACTCCCTACCAATAGTTCAGGTGTTGACGCAGACCCGTCCCGAGGCAAAATTTATACATTTATATGGGAAAATAATCATACCCTCTGAAAATACTTCGATTGTTCGACCATCGTGTAAATCTGTTTAATCTAGAACTATTCGTACTGGTACACTTTTTGAGACGTAATATCACTAAATTTAATGCAAACGTACGTACGGGTGAAATGATAACATCGTAGTTTTGTGTAGAGATTGAGATGCACTTACAAACTCGTAGAAATCTATGTAAATTCATGGCTAACTATTGAACATCTACTGCTGAAAGGAAACGCCTCGATAAAGTAATTAGAAGGGTTAGCGTAAGGTTTAAACCTACTTATTCTTCACTAATTTGTCTTATAAATCTAGGCTTTTTGTTTGGCATTATTATTATATTACCAGGTTTGGCAGTAGGAAACCGAGTTTCAGGATGTGGTGACTTCCTTCGAAAAACTATCACTTACAAAAGACCTAGTTACATTAAATAGTATGTCATGGCTAAGTGGACTTATTCGACATACCACTATGCAGCGTAAACTGCAGCAAGTCTACAATGTACTGAGGTCCTAATTTTCCACGTATATGACCTAAGCGGTGATTCAGCGAACAAATCCATGCGCTTTTTGTAGATCATCAATAATGGACTTTAAACTATTCACATTGTAGTCTATGCCCTCGATCTCATAGCACTTTTCGTATCCTATCAAGAATTATTCAGGTTTCTACCCACACTCACAAACATGGTGTGTGTCTTAAGGTGAGACAAGTAAATTAATAGCGACAAGCAATAAAAATTTTTCATAATGTTCTAAGGGTAATTGGTTCTTTAGAACTACAGGTCCTAAGTATAACGAAAGTGGTCGGCTTTCTGTTGCCTCTCAAATAGCGAATTCATCCATAGGACGACCGCTGTATTAGAAAACACAAGCAGAGTGTTGGCTACACAATATTCCTTGAACTATAGATACTAAAGTAAGAGCAACCATATGTTTGAGTCGCATAATGGTTTAAGCATATTGACAAAACACGGATGATTAAATAGATTATTTCTTGTTCGTCTAAATTTCCTCCAGCATTAGTATCTTCTCAGTGCTAGCAGTTCAAGGGGATGACTAAATTTGACTTGAGGTTGCTTAAAAATTCTATGGACGATTTGTGGGATAGACTGACTGGTAGCATAAGATTGTGTTTAGTAAGAATTCTAGTAAGCGCTTATGCTAAATTAAGGGTGCATTTCTCAGTCTACTTGCCATAGCTATCACATCCAAACGATCAAAGTTTTGGCGCTTGTTGTTACTTACGTTTTGGGCACCCGGGCAGTATCACAGCCCTCACACATATCAATTGAAATCTGTGTGGCGCATATGTATTTGGTGCCTCCTTGTACCAATATCTATGTGCTAAAATAAATAATAATAAATAATGTTGTTCACGATGTTTCAGCTCGATGTGACATAAAATTAAAGCATGGGATAGCGTGATCACTTTCCCCCAAAAAATCAGAATTAAGTTATTTTACCAACCAGAGGTTTTTCGTGATGTCTTAATTCTTATCACAAGCTAGTATGGCTGCAATCATTGTTATTTTCCCACCCTAAACATAGCATACTTCCAATTCACGTTTGCTTCGCTTTTTTCCCTTGCATTTTCCTTCCTATGATTGTAACAAATAAAAAAGATATTTGTGCCAAATCATTAATTTACCCGAACTACCTAATCCACCAATCTGAATTGATTTTACTTGACTTTTCAATAGATTTCAAATACAACTGTATTTGTGTCTAGTTATATAATCAGTTCATTTTCGAATCTTTTCATCTTGTTACCTTTTTTCATTTCAGGGAAATAGGTTAAAATCATATACCTCACTTGGATTTATGTTATGTATTGTTAATGTGATTTTGATAACACTGTTACATATCACATTTTCAGTTTCTTTAGAGGAATATGACGAAATGGTAATTATATATTCATTAACTAAAACCCCTCAGGCGTATGCTATCCCTACAGAAAACATTGATATTGATTTGTTTCTGAAATCACATTCATCATATAATAAATACACCACTTCCCAGAAGAATTTGAATGCAACTGTTTTAGCATATGTAACGCCTGTAAGTGACATTATTTTGTATTAAAATCCAGATATATAGTGGAATAAATTAGGATACGAAGTAGCAAAAATATTCGGTGCTAAATTCAATCTTATTGCTCCTGTGTGGTTTGAAGTCCAAAGTGAAAAAAAGGCATATACAGTTACTGGGATCCCTGAAATTAACACTGGTTTGATTGTCACATTTTCTGGATTATTATATTTTCTCAGAATGGCTTGGTGAGATTCGCACTGTGAATCCTGACGTAAAGATAGTACCTCGATTTTCCTTCAGTCCATGGGAAAATCGAGATTATGCCGCAACTTTAAAAGATGTTTCTAAAACAGATAAATGTATTCGAAATGTGATCAATATTTTAAAGGTCAGTTTTGTTCATCATTGATTGGTTCCTTTTTTCCCCTGGAAGCTGTGCTTGGTTTGTTCTGTTGTCAGAATTTAGTGTACAATATTTTATTTTCACAATAGTGGAAGAACTTTTGTCATTGTTAATGAACACAATTTTCGGTAGCATTCATATTTCATTAGATAACATATGATCCCATGACCTATTGATATGTAGTATTTGCTTTTTATATCACTAATGAGTGCTGCATATGACCGAGTTTGATGACCATAACAAATGCGGGTTTTTTTATTGACAGTTAAAATTAAGTATAAGGTAGTAGGGCATTCAGAAGCTCACTATGAGTAATAGTAATGTCTATTTATCCTTTCGTTTTGTGATTATTCTTGTAATTTGTCTCCTCTGTGAGAAAACCTCAGTTATATTCTTATTTTGTTTGTTTTTCATCACATTAGTTATACCATTAGCATTCTTTGCAATAATATTTGTATGCATTTGATCGAATGCTAATTTTTCGCTTGGTCAGCGTAATGATGACAAATAGGAAATGTTCCTCTATTATTATATACATTGTTAAGTCCAGTCTACTTTATGTATGTGAAAATCATCGGAGTATAAGTTTACCACCAGTTGAGTGTAAAATGATTACTGTTGAGCCAGATATAGCAACCTTGAAAGCAGATTTAGGTAAGAAGGTCACAGAATTATCTAGTGAATTGATACAGAGGAGAGCAAGAAATCTAAGTAAGGTAATAACAAATGATCGATTGAAATATAAGTTTATGGACACCGAAAAAGACTGGCATTTTGAATTTATGTAAGAAAATATAGTACGATTATTCCACAATGAAAATCGTTTATTGAAAATCGAATGAAGTGTTATTAAGGACGTAATTCCCGACAGGATGTTATTTGCACTGTGACTTGAGAATGTATCGCTATTGAATTCATTTAGGAATATTCAAAAGCTGAAACATCAGTTATGTTTGGGAAACGTGTGTTGTCAATATCTAATTAAATTCCAAAGTACACTGAAGAATGTGTGAAAAATGTATCCGTATTTTATGAGTGCTAGTCAATATATGACTAAATTTACTGTTTGTCTGTATTTGCAACCAGTGGGAAAATAGATAAAGTTTAGGATTCAGACATGCTTTTAATCAAACTGACACATTCGTATACATAGTGGATCATATGTCTAAATTACAGTAAATAGGTAATTGAAATATAACGGGCTTTTCTTGGCCTCTCTTGTGACTTGGAAAAGTCGATCATACAAATAAGTTAATGAAGGCTTATTACAACTGTCGTTGGACGAAGCAAATAGTAATTACCGCTTAAAACGGACTCTACAGAAGCAGGTTGATTTTTTGTCAGGTCGTAGGTTCCCTGTCCACTTTTCGGAACACAACCGTAAAATTGCCTGGTTTCCAAGTAGAAAACAATTTTAATTTTTACCTCTCTAAGACAGACGTTTTTCACATGGCTTTTTCTGTAATATTATGAACACCTGGAGCAATTTTGTGTTCTAATTGAAAAAGTCTGGTTTTGACGAATCTGTAGTGAATCATCTAGTGAATACGTTGTAGACTCAGCTGAATAGATTGTACTTGCAGTCGAGGACTCAGTACCTAAAACAGAGGAATTCTCATGAAGTTCTGAATGAGATGCTATGACTGAACTTGAATTGGAATTTTGTTCAAGACTATCTATCTACTTTGTTTCATCATTGCTCGTAACCACTGCACTGTTGCATGAACTAAGATTTTCATCTATAATACATTCTTTGTGAATTGCATTTGATTTTGAACTTAATGGTAAGTGGTTTACAAATGTCGATTCACTTGAAAGCATTTTGATAACTTCTGTCTTCGATTACGTCATCTGATTGCACAATGAATTCCACTCATTCAGTGGAACCGACAATCCAGCAATCTGTTTTTTATTTCCATCCCTACTTTGCTGGAGAAGGATTTTATGATTTATAACAAAGGACCTTTGTGGATTGCTGAAATGGGTACATATAATACCTATCAAAGATGCAGTTATACTATATGGCCGATGGATAATTGCTCACGAAACTGAATCACTCACTTAAAACCTCGAATAAACTGATCAAAATCACTAGCCAACAGAATAGATCTTTTATTTAATAAAATAAAACGTATATATATGGAATATCAAAGAAATAAAAAAAGACCTGAAATCAGTCAGAAAATAAACTGTTAGGAGATACAGATTATGTACGTCATTCTAATAAAGTTAAGACCTGACTTTCAGGCTTAATTCTTTTCCAACTTATCAAACTCAACTGTATGAATCTTCCGTTTCTGTGGATTCTATGTAACAGAGAATATAAATAAAACACTGAGATAATTAGATGATCTTGAAAAATTAAAGCTAGCAGCTAATTTGAGCGAATTCTCAATGCTCAGAAGTAGGTTTACAGTTTACTAACTGTATAGTATTTGGATTAACATTTTAAACATGACTAGCTTTTTTTGCTATTTAACTACGACATTAAAAGAATTTAGATTGATATGAAACAGATCATAGATACTAGGCTGGAGAGATTACTTGTGATCATTTATTGTTTTAAAGTTGTTGTAAGCACGATAGCTCTGAGTAACTATTTACTTATAATCCTGGATCCATTAGTAGCTGTCACCCACGATTCCACTTTCCAGTTCATGGTTCATATTTTTTAGTCAATTTATGGCAGTAATTCACTATCATCTCCAATCATCCACCTCACTCCTATTTTGACTTTGATGCGATAGTTTCAAATAGCCTTTTAACTTTTTACTTTGTAAACGAATTGTTTTTGAAGAACATCCCTTCTTCTGTTCCTAATTTTTCCTCCATAGAAATATAATTTCGATGGTGCAGTCATAGAAATATGGGCACAGTTCTCTGGTGTAGAATTACAATCACTAATAGATTTTATAGTACGACTTTCTGATAATTTACATTCGAACGGCAAGCTTTTTGTACTCGTTATTCCACCTCCTGTTTACTATGAGTAAGACCTTTTATTTTGTGAATACATACATTATTCTAATTAATCTGGAATTGTTAGAGGCATAGAAGGAAGATTTAAAGAAGAAGACTTTAAAGTGTTGGCCGATCATGTTGATTATTTTAGCTTAATGACTTACGACTATTCTTCACCTCATAGGTGAGTTTAAATAATAATTTCGTATATTTTTAACTTCTAAAGTCTGGTGAAGTCTAACTAATTATTCTTGAGTCTGAAGTTCCTTTCTTCCTGAAAAATGAATCTTAGTACGTTTCATACGAAGTTTAACATTACAAAAAAAGAAAAGTTAAAGGTATTTCTAATCACTAATGTTTTCAAAGCATCTCTTTTGTACAGTTACTATGGGTTTTATGGAACGTCGCCTCAATGAAATGTATGACATGGAATTCATATCGCCACAAAAGAAACTTGAACTTTTTTCTTTCTGTACACGAATGAATTCTAATAATTTAAATAAGAATAAATACAGACCCAGTTTAGTAACTGTTCAGCTGATAACAACTGTAAATTTTTGAAGGATTATGTAAATACTTCTAGGTTTATCAGGCATAATTTTAAGACTGACCCATGGAAAGAATGCTTGTCTTCGTAAACTTATTTCGTCAAGTTTGCTTGTAATTTTTGCTTTCTAGATGAGCATTTTAAGCATTCATCCATCGATCCTCATCAACATGTGCTTCAGTAATCTGAAGCTTAGTTCTGTTTTCTATGTCGAGTTACCCAACCTCCAAAACGTATATAGACTTTCCAAGTGAGTAATTGACCCAGTATCGAGCAACTTTCATCTTTACATATGTTCTTATTTATTGCTTATTCAAGTAAACATCTACTCGTATATCCATATATCTCCTATCAATTCTTTACGAATGTAATGTCTTTTCAGCCTTTGAAATTTTGTCATCAATAGGTTAATTTCCATAAAAATATAAAAATCTCATAGTTTGAGTTAATACTCACTTGGAAAATGAATAACTACGCTATTCAATCTAATCCGAGTTAGAATTTTTAAATGAATCATTGATGTAATGTCCTTATAATGCAATATTACTGTTTTTCGGCCCCCAAATGCTCTGGTACGGCCGAGAGTGGGGAGAGTCCGCTCTCCCTCTCAAAATGCTCTCACATGGCCACGCGTATATAGCCTCTGCCAGGGAAGTCCTACTCACTGCCTTCTCGTAACGGGGGTGTTGTTTACAAAAATGAGAGGACGAAAAGCGAATGTCCGGCGCTTTAACCGGATTCCAAATCAATGGTGCATATGGGTTCCAGTATCCTGCGGGAACAAATGGCGTATGAACCAATCGTTGGTCACCGGCTACCATGGGACTGCATCTCCTTACGATGCTCCACTGCCTTGTGAGTCAGACATTCAGGTCAAAGGCTCTGGGTGTGGCTCCCTAAGAAAACCACCTGCTTCGGTTTGGGCACCCGGGCAGTATCACAGCCCTCACACAAATCAATTGAGATTCGTGTGGCGCATATGTATTTGGTGCCTCCTTGTACCAATACCTATGTGTTAAAATAAATAATAAAATAAATAAATTTTCGGTCTAATCAAACTAACCGATGTGTTGATACCATCTGACTATTCATTTCGCCCGGTTGCTATATATATATATATATATATATATATATATATATATATATATATATATATATATATATATAACGTGTATAATTATTTTGTTTCATTTGTTGTTGGTAGGTCGTACATTTAGTGATAATTTTTAAACTATGGTGTACACGACTCTATTTTGGTTGTGTAATTATTCTTGCGCTTCCTTTCTCTGAAAACCATATAACAGACCTGGGCCTAATAGTCCTTTGAGTTGGGTAGAAGAATGCATTAATCGTTTGGTTCCAAAGAGTTCTTTAAACCAGGCAAAATTGCGTAAACAAATTTTAGTTGGTTTAAACTTTTATGGAATCGATTACTTGCCTAAAAAATTAATCGGTGAACCTATTAGAGGCAATGAGTAAGTGTTTTATTTTCCTCTGAAGAATTTCGTTCTCGCTTCATTTTGTCGAAAATGTTTATTGATTTTATTGCTATCCAGGAATGTTTGTCATATACAAAGCATATAATATACATAACCTTGTTGTTTCTCACATCATATTCATCAGTGGAACTGTATTTCATTTTACTTCCAACTATTTAATCTAAAGATTTGATCCTCAACCTAAACTGAACCAACCAACTGTTACATATTATGAGTAGTTTAAAGTTTAGTGCGTCGACTGTGAATTTATTTTGAAGAAAGTGTAAGCAAGGATTTAAGCAGAATAAAATGAATTCGTTTTATTTGCTAGGTTGTCATCAGCTACTACAACCTAGAATGTTTCAAAAGCAATATTATACATAGTAGTTAACGTACCTATAGAAGTGAACTGTGAATGTTTTATTTCTCTCGGTGTGTTTTAATGGTGCCTAGTGTTCTTTAAATTCGAATTAGCAGATATAACTAATCAGTACGTGAACTTTACCAAGACTGAAGTTAATAATTCTGTCCAAAGAACACTAGGCACCATTAAAACACACCGAGAGAAATAAAACATTCACAGTTCACTTCTATAGGTACGTTAACTACTATGTATAATATTGCTTTTGAAACATTCTAGGTTGTAGTAGCTGATGACAACCTAGCTAAATAAAATGAATTCATGTTATTCTGCTTAGACCTTTGTCTTTCATTTCGTCAAGTTAATAGGGAGAACTATCTTTCAAGATCTTGATTTACTGCTCAGTTGCATCAGTAGTTCGATACACATTTATTGTTCTATACATTAATTTGACCATAACTAACATAATATATGTTAGCAATAATGGATTGTTCTGCATGTCCTTGTTGATCAGACTACCAAGCTGTTTCAAAACAAATTCAACACATGAATATTCAATAGTATACTAATAATATGGCTTAACTGAGCTAAGATCACTGATAGGGTTAAGTATACTAAGTGCTAAACAAGAAAGTACAAATATATAGGTAACTGAATATTTCAAACAATTGTGGTGTGTGCTACTTATGTAAACATAAGTAGTATATGACGTGAGTACTGAACAGAATGTCTGGCAGCAGAGAGACGAGATCGAACAATAAAGAATGAAGAAAGAATGCAAGTTGTATGAAAATGCAAGAACAAAGGGATCCTGAGTCATTTGAGACAATTGATGAACAATTTGCAAATTAACGATTTAATATATGGTTGCTGGATTTTACTAACAAGTTCTGTAATTTGTTGTTAAATACATGCGGTTGTCCTCACCAGTGTTCTGCTTCACTACACAATGCCTAGTGTATTTTAGAATCAGTTTACCTTATTTTGGCAGCCAAATAGTTTTACCAGCTCTCTCATGAAAAATATGAATAGAAAAGTAGTACATAAACCTATACTTGGTAAATGAATTACATTATTACTATGTAGTTATTATGTTTGCAAATATAAAATTTCAGTCAGTATTATAAGCTTTGTCTCCGTTTTAGGGGTTTAAGATTATCAAAAACGTCTTTGAGTGGATACTTGTAAGCTCATTACTAGCTAGCTTCAAAATGAATTTCTGGTGTTCTTAGTGTGAAAACGTTATCTATAGGGGTAATCAAAACGAAATCGAGATAACTAAGCAGTGACATTAGATAAAACCGTAGTGTATCACAAAAGTGATTAAAATTAAAAATACGGGTCGTTGGCTTCCTACCCGGTGGTCCGAAGAAGTCGTTTTCGTCCCGAGATCTATATGTCTTGAGTTTGATTCAGCTTGGAATGGTGGGTAATCTCTTATAAAAACAAACAGTTCTTTTAGTCCTCCTTGGCATTAAGCGGGTCTTCAGTTGATGCTTGCTTGTAATGATATCCACTCCATATATTTATATATCATTTTTTGTCCGATTATGTAAAGTTAAATCAATAATGTTGGAGACAAAATCAGGGAATCTCATTCTTACAACGCTTCAATGTCTTCGCAAAGATATTTATCAGTGAAATACCTTGGTTGACTTCAATGTAGCTAACTTTTAAAGCAATTTTTGTTCATTTCACAAATTGATATTGTATTTTGTTTATTCTTTTGTTTAGTGTTATTGAAATAGTTGAGAAGTATCGACCGAACTTTAAATGGGATAAACAATGGGCTGAACATAGCTTCTCTTACAAGTAAGATTATTTTTCTTCTCCTTGCTCAATAAATTCAGTGAAACAATTGCCATAGGATAGTCATTCTGAAAATACTATAAATTTTTCATCCCTGTATACTACGAATTCAAACTTTTTAAACATCGCATCCTTATCTGTGGAAAAAACTTATAATAGTAAAAAAATTCTTAAAAGGGAGTCTGAGTCAATGTCATCTTCATTTGGGACTTGGTGACTTTTTATTTAATGTACTTTTGCTAATGTCATTTTTCTATCTTAATTTTTATGTATGCTTTGGATTAATCTTTAAATTGTTCCTCCTTTTTCATCAGATAAAAAACCTTCAGAGCTCTCCTTTTTTCATAAGATTTCCTTTCTATTCTAAATCACAGTTCGAGGTATGGTACCCGTTCTCTTATTCGTTGGTTTTCAGTTTAATATAGTTGGGAAAGTTCAACCTTCTGAATAAGGTTGATTAAGGGTAAAAAATTGTCAGTAATTTAAAATATTTAATCTTGTACTTTGGCTCTTAGGTAATACCAATAAAAAATATGTCTTTACGTAACATTTGAAGCTATCTAATCAATATTTCCCGTGTTCTGTTACAAACATGTTTATTTCATTGTAACCTGTTTGTTTTTCGTTGAATTTGTTTCAGAGTACCGTAACTTTAATTTATTCCCTGGTGTTTTCCATCACATGCCAGTTTCTGTTGCTTTCTATTCTACTTCGAGTTTTTTGGTAAATGCCTTATATTATTTTTTGTAGGGATAAAAAATCACAGGTTCACTTGGCTTTCTATCCTACCTTGATGTCGATAGCTCAACGTCTACAAACTATACTATCCAGAGGTACTGGTGTTTCTATCTGGGAGATAGGACAAGGACTAAATAGTTTTTATTCACTATTCTAATGTAAAATTTTACATATCGTCATGGTATGTATGTGCACTTTTTTATCTTTTGGAAATATATTTTCATACATCGATTTCGATTCATTTTTATTGTATGTAATGTATAGACATATACTTTTAATTGTATGGTGCTGTTTTTAGACTAAGCTTTTATTTATCTTATTTCCCATTCTGCGAGTTTGTATGTATAGTTAGATTTTACTCGCTTCATAACAAACAGTTTATCATCTGATTTCTTAGTCACGAGAGATGATATTTCCACACTTAAACATGACTATGGGAATCGGTTTGAAACTAGTGTAGTAAAAGAATATGTACACGGGGTAGTAACGACTAAGTGACTGGCATCGAATATCTCCTATACCTGAAACACCTAACCAATAGGCTTCAACAAGGTTTATCATCACTTCACAATGCTTATCTTCTGACAATGAAAATCAATTTCTTAAAATGCTTTGTCTTGAGTTCTATTGAGTAGTTTAGTTATAACTTCAGAGTGTGAAAACTAAAACAGGCATGGAATTAAGTCTGTTATTCAAATGTTCCAAAGAGTAGGATCACATGGGACGGGATCATGGCTTCGAACTGTTACTGAGGGTTGAGTGCTACTTGTAATAGAATAAGGATTTCAGTGCAGAAAATGGACTAGGTAATTCTTGTGGCCTTATTCAATATATTTCGTACAGTAATTAACAAATTCATTTAGTTTGGACGGAAATTTCGCAGGTTTTCTGGAGATTATTAAACGTATACTCACAAAATATTCGAACTTTTATGTTAACATGACATATAATTGACTTCTTTCAACCTTCACAGCTTTGATGGACTTATAACTCAAACAGTTATTGTATCAATAGTTCTAAGTACAGAATATTCACTATTATTCCACAGTGTCTCAGCAACCAAAAGAAAGAATACTAGGAATTGGACCTTTTTCTTGCGAAGTGCACTGAGCGACATAGTTGGAATCAAAGATAAACGAACGTAAGGGAATATTACTGTGTTAAAAGTCAGGTTTTCTAAGTAAAAATTCATGCCTCAATACACGGTAAAGTGGGCTTCAAAACATTAAGTCACTTATATGATTTTGATTTTCACATTACGAGAAGGCTCAAGAAAGTCATTTTCGATTCTCCATCTGTCTGATCTCCTGAATGAGTCGGTTAGTGCAGCATATATTACAGTTTCCTGTAGTTGGATCCAAATTGAAAAAATCCAGTATATCGCGGAGATTCTGCTTGTTTTTGGCATTTGGTCTCTTTGACTGTACCCACGTAGTTCTCTAACTCAGTTGTAATGAAAAGAGATCGTTTAGGGCCATTTCTTAATATCTGATACTTTATAAACTAATAGCAGATTAATTCGCTGTGTGAACAGGTCTAGTTTCTCGAATATATTGCTTAAGAGTGAGTCAGATATATCCGGGGATTATACAGTTATCTTGCCAACAGTTCTTGTTTACCTTTGCATCATGAAATTAGAAATTGTACATTTTTTCCGATTTGATCATTGTAAAGGAAAGGATACGCTGAAAATCTCTCCAAAGCATCTTATTAAGTAGTATTTATTTGTTGCTTTTCCCTGTATTGCATTCTAACATTTATCCAGTTCTCTTTTAGTCACACTATGTTCTTCAGTCTCCGTTGTCTGGGTTTTCATTATTTGACCTTGGCTAAAGATTTGCCTCCCATTACCTACTTTTTCTGTTGTATGTTGCTAGACCATTAACAACAAGGTTTTGTTTGACTTAAATCGGGGTCACGACGTGGTCCAGTCTATGATTATTAAAGGCTGGCTGAATCCAACTATGGGAAAGTCCGTCCTAGCGCTTATCACATTCCGAAGCAATTAACAGAGACTGATCAGCCATAAACCATGGTCTTCAGGCAAGGAGGTTCCTCCAGTTATATAGTCGCAAATACACGTACGCCGAGATCGTTGATTAGCATTACACACTCTATAGTTAGTAAAATAGTGTAAAACAATGTTGTAGATACTGCTTCACACCGTTGTGTGACAAGGTCTACATAGTTTTGAGGTGAGAAAATCAGTTAAACTGCAGTAAGGGCCTTACCAAATCAAAATGAACATGGTCGAAACGAGCGTTAGGTGTTCTGAGACGGCACAAGGTATATTTATTTTGTCCATTCACCTTAGACTTCTGTCACTTTACACAAGTGCTTGTCCACTCCCTCACATATTTATTCACATAAGACCAGCGAAATCGCTCTTTTATGAGCTTCGTTGTCCCTCTAATACTTGGGTGGGAAAGCTTGTTCAGTGTATTGGAGACTTTTGTCTCAATTCGATAAGTTTATCCCGCCATACAGCCTCTATTCCATAAGCCGAAACCGAAGATTCCTAACTGCTTTGTTCTAATGGCCCGATCAACAGCGATAAAGACGCCACTGACCTTCTAACAGAACAGTACTCTCAGAAATTTCGACCGGTCCACACGAAAGCTTCATTCCCAACCCCACAGGACTTTCGGATGCGAACCTGAGCGCTGACTTGTACCGGAAGCTGCAGCACCTAAAAACACACATCTAGTCCGAATATGGTTCATTTTTCTATACTGATGAAGAAGACCAAGGAGTGTTGGTACCTGTGATTTGAAGTCTTACGTTAACTGCGACAAAAATATCTTCTGTGCAAACCCTACACTAGTAACGTTGAAGCCAGTTTTACGAACGAAATTTCCACATAATCTTCAACAATATTATTCGTCCTCATTTAGAGTACTGAAACATAGAATTTCCCCCCTCACTCCAAAATTATAGGGATAATCTGTAACTATACAGTTGCGAGCCACGGAAGCCGTTCGGGAACTTACATTCAAGATTTATGAAGAGCGCCTCCAATTACTGAACCTTTATACATTAGAGTACTGGAGTCTTAGAGGTGACCTATTAGCTTACAGCTTAGTCCCAACACAAACATAAGCGGAAACACCCAAAAACCGGGGAAAACGCAGCAGAATGAACTGTGGAAGCACCTCCTACTCCTTAAGAGTAATGAAATGCTGAAATTCGCTGCCGTCTGAGCTAGTCCAATCGACTTCTCAGGAGTCATTTAAAATTGGATCTCCCAGTTCAGGGTCCTTAAACGCAACAGTGGTTCCTAAAAACTCTGCAGGTGACTGTACCCACGCCAACAGAGCTAATAAGGACCAGGTGTCACCGTCCAAGGTTGACATCCCAAGTGTTGTACGGACATCAACTGGTGCTTTGACCGCTCAGTCTACCCCCAAAAATGTCCGCCTGGTTATTAAAAAGCCTACGATTCAAAAGCCTGCTTCGACCTCCAAACAACAACGTACTGAACGTGAACGCACTGGAAAAGCTGGGAAAACAACAACGGTCCGTGACTACTCCCTCATAATCATGAACCTCATAGACAATCCTGACCTTCCTCTCAGTTTGCAGGACAAAAATGACAGGATGCTTTGGGGTGAACTGAACAAAAAGCTCGAACTCCCTAGAATAGAGCCTTTGACGGTCACACGGCTCACTCGGGGAAAGGATTCTAAACATCAAAATCACCCGAGACTACTCCGTGTAACACTCAAGAATGCTACCGAAGTAGAGGATGTCCTGCTAGCCAGTCATCTACTGAAATCCGATGGGAACGTCAGAATACTGCATGACATACCATATTCTGAGCGCAATCTCATCCGAAACGTCCCTAAAGATTCTCGAGAGAATTTTTCCGCGGAAGAAATATCATCGTGCAAGGTGTACCGGAAAACATGGACCCTACTCAAGCAAACTCTGACATTCGGGGATGGAAATTCATCAAACAGTCCTTGAGGCTTAAAAACATACTGTCTCAGCATGTGGTGAGACTAGCCAACAAGGACGGGGATCCTAGACCCCGACTAATGAGGATAACTTTTCCATCCTCCCGTATGGCGGCTGCAACTCTGGAAGCATTTCGTGTCAACAGACGTCGGTTGCCAACTGGGATCCATATGCACCCGGATAGGTTAAACGACGCCAGGATCAAGCACAAAGGCAAGCTGGAACTGACCATTCCACTTGTGGATTGTCTTCAAGACAAAAAAACGTGTAAAGGACAGGGCCTACCAATTCGACAAAACTTATATAGGTGGGTTACCTGTCCACTCACGCAAGGCTCTCACAGATAAACAGGAAGAAGCTCACGCGTTTCAAATTGAAAGCATTAACTGCTTATACATGAACGCCGCGAGTCTACCAAATAAATTGGATGAACTAAGTGAACTTAGCAACGCTAATAAATTTCATCTGATAGTAATATCTGAAACTTGGATATCTCCTCAGTATTCGGACCAGGAGCTAGCAATACCTGGGATGTCTCTGTTTCGCAATGACAGAAAAACAGGAATTGGCGGTGGAGTAGCCCCATACATAATATCTGGCCTGGTGGTACACCAAATCCACAACCACGAGCTTGACAATCTTGAGGAATCCATATGGTGCTCTGTGAGATTGTCCACTACTTCGAGGTGCCTAGTCGGAGTCATATATAGGAAGCCCACTGCCGACATCGAGTATGACAGTCGCATGCTGGAAGGACTATCCCGCTCTACGCGTCTCGGCTTCACTCATATCCTGATCCTAGGGGACTTCAACCTCCCTAGAGTCAACTTCGCGGAACATACGTATACTGGAGGTGAAAATTCAATTGAAGTTCGGTTCTTCAACCTCATTGAGGACTTGGGACTACAAGAAAATGTGAAGTTGGCTACTCGTTGGAGGAACAGTCAGACACCGTCGCGCTTAGACTGTGTTTTTACAAATGAAGAATTTCCAGTCGACAACCTCTCAATTCTGGCTCCCCTGGGGAAAAGCGATCACGCCGTTATAGCCTTCAATTTCGTCAGCAAAACTGAGCTAAGATATCCCGACAACAACAGGCGCTGGAATTTCAAACGGTTGAATGCGTCAGCTCTACAGGATTATCTACAACAGGTGGATTGGAATGTTCACCCTCAACTTGATGTGGACGCTCATTGGAACTTCCTATTACACACGCTGTTATGTGCTACAAAGCAGTCAGTCCCTCAAACGGTCCCCAAAAGCCACATGCAACCTACAATCATCAAAACCGCACTCTTCGTTTGCTTAGCCGTAAAAGGCACTGTTGGGCAGAATACAAACGAACCAACAACAACGGCGAGTACAAGCAATACAAATATATAGGGAATATATGTACGAAGGCTATAAGAGAAGACGGGCTTCAGTATCAGTTAAAGCTTATGGATAAATTTATTTCCAATCCGAAAGGCTTATTCCGTTACGCAGCCTTTCTTCGTCAAGCCAAAACTGGAGTTTCTCAACTGCTAGGTCGAACGGCCCGACAGATAATGACGGTGACGCCGCTAACCTTCTGGCTGAGCAATACTTTCGGAAATTTCAGCCGACCCACATCAACTATACTGATGTCGGCTCTGTCTGCAACTGCACAGGACTTTCCGTAGTGAAACTGAGCGCTGACTTGGTGTTCCGTAAACTACAACACCTAAGAACAGACACTTCTCCTGGTCCAGATATGGTCCACTCTGCTATACTGAGGGAAGCAGCTTTAATCCTGGCAACACCGCTTAGCGTGATGTTCTCACACTCGCTAAGTCGGGGCAAACTACCGGATATTTGGAAGCTGGCTCATATCACACCAATCTTCAAAGGAGGTCGACGCAGTGAACCTTCAAGTTACCGACCGGTGGCCCTTCTCTCTATACCTTCAAAGATCATGGAGTCCCGGGTATACGATGATATACATGACTATCTGCTGTCCTTAAATTTCTTCTCACCCCAACAGCATGGTTTCAGGAAGGGTTATTCCTGTATGACGAACCTGCTGACCTCGGTGGACAGATGGACAAGCATCGTTGATCGCAAGGGGAAGGTAGACATTATTTACCTTGATTTCTCTAAAGCTTTTGATAGGGTCAACCACACATGTCTTATTAACAAGCTCAAACAATTGGGAATCAAACCACCTTCAATTGACTGGCTCAGTTCATACCTCACAAATCGACATTTTAAGGTCAGGGTAAACTTCAATTTCTCACGCGCTATGGAATGTTCTAGTGGGGTCCCCCAGGGCTCAGTACTAAGACCTCTCCTCTTCCTGATTTATATAAATGATCTTCCTCAACAGGTAACGTCAGACATACTGCTCTTTGCCGATGACGTGAAACTTTGGAGAGAGATACGCAACCAAGAGGACATACAGGCACTTCAGGAGGATCTGACTCTACTTCAAAGTTGGGAAGATGATAACGGACTTACCTTTAACACTTCAAAGTGTAAAGTAGTCCATCTGCGACACGTCGCAGATTACAGTTACAACTAAGGAAACTCCTCTCTAGTAGTATCCCGAGTCGAAAAAGATTTAGGAGTTCTGGTGCCCTACGACTTAAAGTCTTACGCCAACTGTGACAAAAATGCCTTTAGAGCAAACCTTGCACTGGTAACATTGAAGCGCATTTTTGGTCAGTTTGACGGGAGAACTTTCCACATAATCTTCAATAGTTTCATTCGTCCCCATTTAGAGTACGGGAACATAGTATTCCCTCCTACACTTCAAAAGGATAAGGACACTCTGGAGCGTATCCAACGGCGAGCCACGAAATCAGTTCGGGGACTCAAATTTAAACCTTACGATGAGCGCCTCCAATCACTCAACCTTTACCCATTAGAGTATAAGCGTCTTAGAGGTGACCTTCTAATGGCTTACAGTATCCTTAACACACCTGGACACCCTCTTAAACACCTACTTAAGCTTAGTCCCAACACTAACCTAAGGGGTAACACCCAAAAACTGGAGATACAACATAGTAGAACGGACTGCATACACAATTTCTACTCCTTAAGAGTTGTCAAATGCTGGAATTCGCTGCCAGCTGAGCCAGTCCAAGCAACTTCCCAGGAGTCCTTTAAGAGGCGACTTGATCTATTCTTAAGGACTAAGGATAGTATCTTACTATGATTTACCAATTTAGTTTTCTTCTCTTTTATCGTTACTATACCTAGGTTCTTGCCTGGAGGTATTGGTGATCCCTTGCTACTAGACACGGAAGCCTGTTAAGCGAAAGCTTCTTCTATTCCGTCCGCAACCATTTGAACCATTTGAATCCAAAACCAGTTGCCGCTGGATTTGAGGTAATCGTTACTGTTGTTTATTTAGTGATTTTTACATTGTTACTGTAATAATTACTGTTTCTGATTCTATTATATGAACTCAGTTTATATTCCAAATTCTTAATTGCATGATATATGTAGTCCTATTTTTGTTTAACACATATCTGCTCGCTGCTTTTCAAAGTTTCTGGTATAAAATGTGTTCATAGTTGCATAAAATATGATTTTTGGAGCCTATGTGTTCGTTGAGCATGTGACTCATTTTAAGCTTGTTCAACTATGAGTTATTTTTAAGGCTGTTCACTATGGTCGCATAGTCGAAACATCTTCAATAATAATTATTACTGACCTAACCTTAAGGTTAGGTCTATCGACCTATATTAGTGCTTGCAGTATGTAACATTGAAATTCTAATCTCGGTTTGATTATATTAACAAAAGTTGGCGATATAACGTATTGTGGTAGAGAAGTCCAGTAGTTGTGACTTCTACATCTTTATAGTCCATTACTTTGGATAACGAAACTCCACGCATTGTGTAGTGATACGGATCATATTTAGTTACATCACCACACTTGTTAGGATTCTCTTCTAGTGACCATCTGCCTAACCATGCCACCAATAAATTCAGATCATCCTGTAATATTATTCCATCTGGCATATTATGTATAGGTCTACAAAACTTTCTAGTTTTAATCTAAAACCCAAATGGGTGACCTTGTCAAAGAGTATTTAGATCTATGAAAATTACGTCTACAGGAATATTTCTGTCTTTTGCTGCAGCTCAATCTTCTCTTGCAATGAGCAGATTTTCGAGCATGATAGGCCTTTTCGGAAGCCATGCTGTTCCCTACATAAGAGATTATGCCATTCCACATTGTTTATAACAGCCATTCGAATAATCTTTTTCATTAGTTTGATAACTCCGCTGGTTATACTAACAGGTCAATAGTTACTAATTAAGTCTCTTCCCTTTCGCCTTATGCTCCGGATTAATTATCGCGTCTTTTCGGTCTCTTGGCAGTGTGGACTGCCTCAGAGACATATCAAACAGTACGGCTATAGGTTCAGTAAATAGATCCGGTAGGGCTTTCATAATCCTAGGTTGAATATCGTCAGGACCATTGGGCTTATCAGGTTTACGATGTTGAAATAGTCTTAAGACAGCACCTTGCTCAATAACTACAGGATACATCGACAAACCGCCCCAGTCACAATTAATCTTTGTCGTTCCTCATTGCTGATAAAAAAACACTACCAAAATATTTCGATAAAGCTTCAGCTTTTTCGGCATCATCTCTTGCCAATATCAACGTATCTTCTTGTACCAAAAATGATGGGATTCCATCACTTCTCTGAGCTTGCCTCTTTATATACGAAAATTACCGTTCCGAACTATTTTTACAATTGTTCATATAACTGTCGAGCCTTACGTATCAACGCTTTACAAGAATTCCTAGTCTTATAGTAACTGGCTCTATATTGTTCTAAGCCAATTGAGATGAATATATTCCAGTGCGTTTTCCTACGTCTAAGAAGTTTCTTGACTTGTTTAGTTATTCGGCTTACGTCGTACTAGGCATGGTATAAACGAAAACGTAATTGAGCTAGGCTTGCCTTTAAATATAGACCGTGCTTCTTTAACTGATGAGCTACCGACCAACCTGTCTTGTTAGCGCATTCCCGAATGGCTGATATGTTAGCTGTCCATACATTTGGGCGATGCTTAGCCTAACCGTATATCATGTCACTAGCTCTAAACATGAGCGACAAAACAGCATGATCACTATTCGCTAACGGTGGAAGAATACCTAGATTGGCAATATCCTCAGTCGCATGAGTGATTACCAAGTCTAACAAAAAAGAACCTTGGTTTGAACCAAAACGTGTGGGTTTGGATACATGCTGTACTAATGTATGCTCCATTACCGTTATCAGGAACCTACTACCGAGGTCTATAGATCCTACCGAGACTATCTCAGTTCAACTAATATCAGGTGCATTAAAACCTCTTAATATCAAGCATCTGTTATTTGCACTCAGCTGAATGTGATCTAAAATAAAGTCATCAGCTAAGTAGATTGGGTTACGATAGATGACACCGAGTATGAATGTACAATATCTGATAGTCAGCTCACAGATAATGACTTCACAAGTTCCAATATCATGGGATTCGCAAGCAAAGAGGCGGATATGTATATCATTGGCTACGTATAAGAGGACGCCACCTCCTTTCCTATATCTATGTCTATCACTTCTTAGATAATGTTATCCCGATAATTCTGGAAAAATGTCGAAGTCGTGGACTAACCAAGTCCATAGAATTTGCAAATGCTATTCTGTAATAAAAAGAATGTATGTTCTCACTAAATATCAGCATATTTGGTTTTTGGTTTGTCACAAATGAAAAATAAGTCATAAGAAATTGATCGAAACCAATCTCTGCAACATATGTTGATATTACACTGAATCCTCAGTTTCTATTTTGTTACCGGTCGTTGTATTGTGTATTTCACATTGCTTGATAGTAATGCCTGTTTCTGCGTTGGTGTTTTATTGCACTTCTCTTTATTACGATGAATTATTATTATACAAACTCTACTACTGTGCAATATTTTCTTCTAAATTATTTCGAATTATATTTTAATCAGTTTGTGTTATAATGTGTGGATTTTTAGTGCATTAGTCACTGTCAGTTTTTTAATTCATTTTAGATTCATTTTTTAAACTACTAACTATCCCTTTATTAATGGCTCCTGTTACCCTTCAAATGTATTTGCAAGATGTAAGTTATCCAGCAGTGAATTAATTAAAAACTGTTCCAGGTTACTAATTGTATCAATAATCGAAACGGTAGAGGATTGAGTGTAAGTTTTTAAAGCCGGAATTTATTATTTTATGCACATGTAAACTAGCACTACCTTATGTGTAGTGATCCTCATGTATATAATTCTCGTCTAGCAGTGCCAGACCCAGAAAATATTGCTGTGTCGTACCTTGTATCACCTTGGGATGAGATAGTTTCTGCTCATGTGAGGTAAAATAAAATAATTAACCGCGTAACTTTTAAAACAACTATTTTCAGATGTATATGGGCAATGCGTAACCGTGATTTTGAAGAAGCTTATGCTTGTCAAATAGTATTAGTAAAATATCCTTTAAAAATTATTTATCAACCTGTAGCTTAACAGTCTTAATAATTAAACTTAAACCAGTAGATCACAGCCTCAAATCCTATTTATTATACACTTTTGAATATGTAGGAACTAATGAGATAAATGCATAGCTGATAATCTATTTCACTAAACTACATGTTTTTCGTACTTAATTCTATCGTATATATAACAGATGTTTACACTCAATGCGCACCAATCCTTGGGCTGCGTTATAATTCACTGAGAACTGTGAAAGCTGAGCTCATTGATTTGAGTATTTGGTCTTTAACCAGTCAAGCTTCAGCTTGCAATAAAATTCACTCGATGAAGTTTAGGTAGGGTAGTTTTATCATCACCTCTCGTGTATTTATTCTGTAGTCTATTTTAGTTATCTTTGAATGTCTTGGAAGTGATTCCTAACAAAATAGATTCACATGTTTGGCAAATGATCTAATCAAGCTTATTTATCCGTTTTATTAGTAAGTGATTAATCTTTCAACACTGAATATGTGCAATTATTATCTAAACTCTTGTATTTGTACTTCTACACTCGGTGTGGTTCTTCAGTGTATTTCTTCCAGATTATTTCTTGTTTCCAATTACGTAAGAAGGATTTGAAGTGGATCTGTTTAAGCCCGAAAGAAAGTGAAATTCAGTGGCCTGAGACGTTATCAAACATGGCTCAAAATAGAAGCCAGTGTTGATCATGTTGTAACTTTTTACTGTTTTTTCAAAAATGAGAGGAATTTCCGCAATTAAAAGAGCTCTTTCCGGTTGCATTTTTATTAACGAAACTGGTTTTCGCACCATATATCACTCTCGTTGACTTATTTTTATCCATTTTTTGATGATACTCACCCTCCTTCCTCTATCTCTCCAGAATCTCAATTTCTTGTTATATGATCCATATTTATTTCGGTGTTTATCTGCACCAATATTTATCTGTTTAAATAAATCAATGTGATAAACAATCATGGACAAACGAAAATACAGCAACGTGATTGTTTCATTTCTACTGTGTGAAATACGATTCGGAAATTATGTTAATTATTTCTCTCCAATGAGGAGTTGGGTCTAACGTAGAACAAAGATGTCATTTTCTTACGTAGAAATAAGTTAACAAGTGGATAAAATATTTCTAAACTTAGGCATTAATGAATTACAGGATAAACAATCGATTTTTAATAATTCGTAGAAATAGTTTATTTATTCAGTTCTTTTAACGGATTGCTTTCGCCTTAACTTTTGATATTGATAACATTTTGTAAATCTCTGGATAAACAACTGTAGCCAAAGCACTCTCTGAATTAAAAGATGACAACTGGATTTTACCTGTTGTACATGTAGCTGCTATTGATTTAAGAAGGTTCGCTCACGGTTTAGACTCAAGATTCACACCACAATCGGATAGTTTTCGAAATCAAGGAAGAAGGATGGAAAATGCTGCTCAACTTATTTTAAGGCTATTTCAAATATGCGCAAGCGATAGGTAAGCTTTTTTACCAATATGAACTATAATTTAGTTTAAATGGGTTTTCATAGTATGAGGATAAATTGTCAAGTCCTCTCCTCCATGATTGGTTTTATTTCATATTAATAATGCTAAAAATTTTCAAGTCTAAATTTATAAAACGAATGTTAAATTTAGTAAGCCTATTGGATAGGAAATAAACAACTAAAAGATAAAATATAGTACCAATTGAAAACCCCAAGTTGAACAGAAGATGAATATGGATGGGTGACGGTAGTTGATAACCGTGAAATGTCTCTGTTGAGAAATACAATATTCCAGGGAAGTTCGACCTAGATCAAAAATTTTTTAAAATCCTTGTTTTAAATTTTTTAATTGGGTGTTAAATGTTGAATATAATGTCGCAAAACTTGCAGCTTAACTGCTTGATTCTCAAAAGTTTCGTTGTAGGGTCAGAATTTAAGATTGTATGAAGTTGTAATACGTTGTCTTTTCAAGCTTTTAGTTGTAATATGTTTATGAAGAAAACATGTGATTATTTTCCGAAACTACTAAGTTATCTTGTATACAAATAAATTTGCATCATAATCCACGTTAGTTCTTGATCCAGAACCTGATACATGTAGCTGCGTACTTCTTCAGCGAATTGTAAACATTATATTTTTCAGTAGTCATTATTGAGTATTGGTTAGCAACTGGTACTATATCGTCTAGTTCCTAGTTCTGGTCGTATACTGTTTCTGCTGCTTTGTGGCCACTAATTTAACTGATTCGATATCTTGTGCACTGTCTAGATACTAGGTGGCTGTAGGCAGTCGGTAGGGTGCTCTGGATTTAGGCTTTATCCACTTTCTTCCGTAGTTTGTTCAAAGGACTGATCCCTGTTCTGGGAGTTTAACCCACGTTACGAAATATCACAGTCAGCGATGCATCTTTCTGATAAACGTCAACTGGCACGAACTCTAAGTCCAGTGTTTCCTGCTAATCGCCTTCAACTATTTAATGTCAAAATTAAGTTTACTTTCTCTTTCCCTACTTTCTGTAACAGTATGTTGCCGCTATATACATGACTCTCTTGTTGAATTCTTATTTTAGTCGTGCACAAGTTGAAGATTCGAAAAAACTGGGCATGATGGGTTTAGCCAATCAACTGTTTAAAATTTACTTCCAGGTACGCACTATATTTGACGAATAAATTGAGAGAACACTTTATTTTATCCCTACAAATTATTAATTAGATTAACAAACTGAATTTATGCAAGTCTATGATCCGCGCAATCGATAATTTAAGTATGAATGATCATTTTAGTCTGGCACAACGGGTAACGTATTGTTATTATGTTGGGAGGAAAGCAATGTTCGACGGTGATTTTGTGTCTGGTAAGTTGCATGGGAATTTATTTGAGTTCTCAATATGTATAAATTACACCTACTTTCTTTCAGAAAAATTGTGCTCAAGTTAAATTTTGTTATCGACACTTTAATGAGAATCATAGCCTAACAATAGTCATAATGATTATATTCGAATCATCTATACGCTCTTAAAAAATTCTTAGTTATACCTAAATAACAGATAAGGCAGCCAGAAACACACCTGTTTTTACGATTTTATAGCAAACGAATTCAATGAAGTACTAAATTTTACTGAACGTAGTTATTTAGTTTATAACTTGGGTACTAAGTTAGATGACAGTCACATTGGGAAATCGTAACACAAAATCTTTTTCTTTTTAGATCATCATGAATACCTTATAGTCTAAATAGTATGCAATTATAGTACAATATAAAATATTTCAGAAGAAACAATGACCATGTATCTTATCTTGATATAAGTACATAAACTACAATTGAGTTACCGAGTTACATTGACATTAAATCTTATTATACAGCAGGTTTGCCTTAATGTACTTACGTTATGTTCACTCCATGTTTATCAGTATTATAAGTTACGTGATTGTTTTATGTCCTTTCTAATGTTTGTTTATGTTTTCGTTTGAATTTCAGCCGATAAATCACTAACTTTTGCATTTGAGCGTTGTTTAACGACGAAATGGAATAACAAACGTTTAATATTGATTTATTTAATTCCTGTAAAAATGTTACTGGTAAGCAAGTTGTTCTTTTACTACTTACTACTTCTTTTTTCCTACTCGAATATCTATCCTCATACTTACTGAAAAATAACGTTCAGTCTGAAATCTGAAAGAGTATCCACTTTACTTGGTGAATTCTTGTGCAATTGGCTTCGATCCACACTATGAAAGTGATGGCTAGTGATAACGCTCAATTGCGTAAAACGTAATGGGTTTAGTGGGGTTTGAACCCTCAATTTAGTGGCTATAAATAAGATGGTTCAGCGATTAGGCCACTGCCTCACTCTATCGTTTAATGTTGAAGTTAAAAAATTAATCAATTACTTGGTCAATTGATCTTCAACTGGTCTCTTTTTGGGCTAGATTATTTTTGTTCGAAATCCAGCATTAAAAACGGTTCGGTTGAAACCAATAATCAGTGAATTTTAACGTTTTAAACTACAGCGTTACCACTATTCAGTGATTAATCTTTTGTGTGTAATAATAAAAATATTCATAGCATTGTTATTTTACTACTCATATGACTGAATTTTAAAAAAATATTTTTTTCTCTTCTCTGTTTAGGGAGTACTACCCAAAGAAAGTCTTTTGTGTAAATATAATTTGAAACAATTCCAAGACATTGCTGATTCAGTCAAGTAGATTTGGACAAAAAACTCGTGCATTAATGTTTTGTTTTATTATTCTATAGAACAGGAAATTTACGTAAAATGGACTCTGCCTTAGAAGAGCACGAAGCCTTTTTCCTATCTTGTGGTGTATATCTTATATTGGAAAAGCTCAAGTTGACTGTTTATCGAAGTTTATTTAAACGAGTGTAAGTTTTTTTCGCTCTTCTTTTTTTGTTATGAATTTTTCGGTTTCCATCTTTTCTGTTTTTTTTTATTCTCTCTTTCAATTTTATAGTTGTCATATTATGAAGACACATCTACTACCGATTGAAGTATTTACAGCTGCACTACATTTAATGGGAGTAAGTTTTTCTTTTCTACTGCCTTTAACGTATGTATTTTTGATTGTTCATAGTTTTTCTTGAGGAAAAGGTATTGATATAACCTAATGGATTGGTCTGGTAATAATGATAAATTTCACTGAAAACATAAAAATAACCAGCCAATATGATAACTCGCTTGAATATTTTGTCTTGTTGAACCATGAGAATATCAAAAGACGACACCCGATCTGTAATTGTGAAGAAGGATGATCCACTTAAACTACTACTTTTGATGTACATTTTTTATCAACCTAAAATTACAGTGGTAACATGATTAAAACGATTTAATATTGATTAGTACAACGCTAAATTGTGTTTCAGTATAAATAAAATCTAGAATGGATAAATTTTTACCTCATCAAAATTAACAATAGTCTGGTATTTTTAATTTTAACTTAGCCAGTTGTTGTTGGAAGTCTAGCTGTGTTGAAGACTATTTTCATTATACAAAGGTATCCATTAGAGAAGTATTGAATTGTATTTCGCTCTGATTTTCAGTTTATCCATAGAATATATTTGCTAAATGGTTTCTGAAATGGACCCTCTTTTTTCTCAAGATCTTCAGGGTAGATAAACTTACTTTAAATCAGTCGGTAGATATCGATTACCAATAATTTCCTACTAACTTGTATATTACATGCGTCCATATCTTAAGTTATCATCTGTGATTATTTCTTGTTCATGTTACCTTATTGGTAATCCAAGTAGATAAAGTTTCTAAAATAATTCACTGATAAACACTTACTACTGATTATACAATTTGCTCTAAAACTAAATAAATATCAGTTGTTAGATTTCAATCGTGTAGCGACTACGTTTCTCCTAAAAATGAAAATTAATGTGTTTCATCCTGGAAGTGATCAAAAAGTGTATCGTACTGGCTAATGTGATACTATTATATTTATTGAGCGCAATTTTCATTCATGTCAGCTGGTGGATTTTTTTCTCAATCTTTGTTTTCTATGTTAATATGACTATGTTGATGCTAAGGTTCTCAACCATAATTGCTCGGTCCGTTGAACGTATCACTTCTTAAATGATAACCAAAGAAAAACTGGTTAATTTCACTGACATGATTTATTCATTTCCGTTAATTAGTATTTAGTATGTCAGTAGCTATATTTCAACTTACATTATACCATACACAATGCACATGTTCCTAATTCATATGACATCTTGTTTTAAAATTACATAGATTTTATAAAGTCCTCAAATTGGACGTTTACTTAACAATTTGTTCAGAAACTTCCAAATACGTGCATAATATATTTAGTATGATTGTTGCACCTTCTATAAAAAGGTTAATTTTAAAGTCGAAACTAATCACTTCATCACTAGATGGCTTTATTGTACAGCAAAACGCCGAATTGAGGGATTTAACTTGACACACTGAACAATTATTTCAGAAAATCGTTTCATTGTGATAAACACAAGTGAACAGTCATTAGTTAATATCCGTGGTTAATCATTCGTCGTTCTATGAGCAACTTAGTCAACAGATTAAATATTTTAAGCATAAGTGTCAGCTTAAATTCTTTTAATATATGCTCATTCATTCTCAGTCAGTTCTATCATTTGAAATCTTTTCCGTTAAGATCCAGCGGTCGGTTCCGTCACTTTAGTTACATTATTGAATCTATCAAACTATCATGATCGTTTTAGAAGTCTGATTAGTCTAAATCTATTTACTATGTAACAATTTCTTATTTGAACAGGTTGAAGATATAGATCCAGACGAAACAGAGTGTATTTTGGCCAATCTCATTCATGAAGTAAGTAGCATCTAATACCATAATTTGACTTTTTCCATCTTGTTTGATATATAATCACTTCAAACGAGCTTTTCGAAGCAAAATTCATAAGTATAATTAAGAACCGTGCTTGCTAATGGGAATGTTTCATTTCATCTCCATCCACGTAGTCAATATGAGTGGGAGCTCAACTGTCATCTACACTAAACGAAATCATATGACAGTATTTAAATAATGATAATGATCTTTTGCTAGCATATTTCAGTCATCCAGCAATGAAATCTTCATCTTCAAAATAATTTGCAGTTATTGGATAAATAATTAAGCTCTGATCTGTTAGGTGTTAGGAAGTAGTCGACAGGAAATCCTAAACCAAAGCTTCGTGCTGTTTGTTACTTATCACCATGATGTGCCCGTAATTTTCAGAAGACAGGTGCTTCCCAATGGGTTCGACCATTACCACTGAGCTATTCGGGCTGCGACTGACCTCCTTTAGGGCTGACATATTTACGACTGATTGATCACTGAGTAGTGAACAATGCCATGTTTGTTTAGTTCTTTTAGCGCCGATCGAATTTTGTCGATTGGGTTATGATATGTGTGACACGGAATCAAATCCGCCAGAGGGTGACAGCCCCTTCGATATTACAGATATACCTTACCAATGAGTGTTAAATAACACTAACCCTAGGTCGGGGATTCCTGTTGACTATCTCTAACCAACTAATACCTCAGCATAGTGTACACGATATCCAGTCACCTAGGCTAGTGGTCACATTGCTATCGATGGAATTTACTCAGCACCAAAAAAAACTAGAAAAACATAACGTTAGTCACTACTCAGTTCATCTTATTGGTCTCCTAAAATGATATTATCCACTCAGATTCCTAACATACTCCAAGAAATATACAAGTTAATGACATGAAAACTTCGAAACAATCAAGAACTACCATTATATACAAAATCCATACTATAACCATACTTTGTTCTCAATAAAATGTAGTGTATATTCCATTGAATTAAAGGAAATGTTATATAATTCCGTAACCAAGATATGCATACTCGGCTTTAAAGTTACACCTTTCTTATGATAGTTCATAATGCAAACTAAAGTAGACGATATGAATCCCGAATCCCCAACTCAATGCTCAGTACTAGACTGCTAAGACAGCTTTTGATTTATGATCCGAACTACCCTTTTTAGTGTTTCTGTATTCATGTCACGAAATTTTAAAAACATTCAAATCAAATATCTATTGCTCAAATTTCCAAAATTTAAGCAGAAGTTACATGGCCAATTAAGTACAAAATACCTAGTTTCATATTCTCAAATCCGTTAACTCATCTATCAAAAATATCTTTCACAAGGATATTAGGCTTCACATTTCAGCCATGTAAAAGTACTGTCATCACAAAATTAAATCTGTTGTCGTACAAATCACAGTCAAACTTGAGCGAATACCTAAACTGCATTTGGTTGAATTCTAAACTTGATAAAATTATCTACTTCTAGGTCAAGTGGTCCTTACTGGCGCAAATATCGTATTTTAAGATTTGCTCATAATTATCGTACCCCCTAACATCTAATACAATGAATGATACTTAATGAATCAGATTTCACAACTCCGTAACGAATAATGAAGGGTAATATATTCTTGTTAGGAAACGTCAACACATTGATAATTTAATATTTAATGAGAATCCTGAATTGATCGGTTGCGCGTAATTTGAGCGGCCTGAATACTTCCATAATAACACCTCTCACTGCAAAGCTGAGTAGTGTGTATACATTTAAATTTTCGAAGAAACATGAGTTAGTTCAAGATAGCAGATACTGTTTACTGATAATTTTAGCGATAAAACTGACATTGTAAAATAACAATAACTCTCTCCTCACTCAGTTTTCGGAAGGAACCACCTGACTCATAACTGTGAAGAATCATTATCTAATAAAAATACAACTCTTTATATGCAGTTTTATCTAACTAATCCAAAGTCAGGACGAAAAATTCTCAGAATAATGTATACCGATTAATTCGACAATATAAATTGATTGTTAAGGTTATTCACACTACGTGATAGGCTGGATGCATTCTGAAGTAGGAGAAACTTCTACTCCATCGGACTTGAATTGTAAATTTGTAATTTAATCATCAAGTTTGAAAAGTAAATTTAGAACGTTTTTCCAAATAACCTTAAATAGTCAACGCTAAAACATACCATTATTTACATTATTTTCTTCTTGTTTGTAGGGAAAAATCAAAGGTTATCTGGCACATCAACAACATAAATTAGTTGTTAGCAAATTGCAACCATTCCCTCCACTTACAAGTAGTGTGGCTAGCAGTTTAAAATGAACTTCTATCCATTATACTGGATTATGTAATCAATGTTACTGTTTTATACAAACAAATATTTTGTACAAAGTTTACCAAATATAACTGTAAAGTGTATAAATACATTTTTTCTCATGATTGGTGTTCTCTAGTATTGTACGTTACTATAGTTTAGTTGATATCAAAGAAGTTGGATTTAGATTGTTAATTCATGAATTTAAAACCACTTCAGAGTTCACCTCTATACAATATGTATAAATCAAGGAATCATTCATAAACTTTTACATGAGTATCAGGTAGTATTCTATTAATATTACTGAAATTTTTGAAGAACCGTAACATTGTGTTTACTTTAGACTCAGTGAGAAAAATATTCATATAGTTTTAATGAATTTTGATGACAATATTTATGTGTTATGAACATATGTAACCCCACATATCTAGGAGATTAAAAACTCAAGTAAACTATGTAACAAGACATACTACTCTGATAAGTTAAAGCATCTTATCACCACTATCTTCATTTATTTATTTATTTTATGGCTTTATTCAATATTATATTTTGGTACAATATAGAATTCTCAGCACAAAATATGTCAACAAGTTTCTTTTACAGAAACAAAGCCAAAAAGGTTAATAAAAAAATCTCAAAAGCTGTACAACTTTCCAAATGAGATACATGTTAAGAATGCAGGTTATTGATTAGGCTAACTCTAATAACTTGTTCGTCACAGAGTATATTTTCTAGATAAGGTATTATAGAACTTTGATACTTTTGCTTGCGTGCTTGGATTTTAATGTAATTTCCTCTCGTTCTACCAGAAGATATATAAGGAGAAAGATATGAGTGAAGGGGATGGTTAGTATCTGATAAAATAACACCTGCCAGGAGTTTGCATGACTTTGGATGTCTATCCACAACCATATTAATTATGATCTCGAAAGATTTACCACACACCTTGCTAACTGCCTTCAGCACTCTCCGCAGTACAGCAGTCTTATCTCAAAAGCCCGGGAAAGAATAATGGAGAACAGTAAAGAATAATAGGTAATATGCAAGAATTGACAAATTTTAAGAGTAAATGACGAGTGATCTCAAGAGCATGCAATGTCTTTATGTAGTAAGTCAGACGGAAAACCTTCTTCAATAACAATAAAACGTGAGAAGACCAAGAGAGATCAGAGGAAAAGGTAACACCAAGATAATTACCTTCGACACTGTGTTTATCAATGAGTCGCCAATGACACAAGCATCATGGGGTCTCAAAATGGTGTTTAAGTGCCGTTCATGTCTCATGCTACAGTTAACAGCTTGACATTTAGACGGATTAAGTATGAGATCATTAACAACAGACCAACAATCAATACGAGACAAAAACTCATTCATTTCTGTCGGATGTAAAGAGGAAGAGATAGGCATACATACAGTGAGATCATCCGCATATTTCAGGAAAGTGTTTACTGTGGAAGATGGCAGATCATGCAGAAAAGAAGAGGTGAAAGAACAGCTTCTTGTGGTACACCTTCATAAGACGCCAGAGACTCTGGATACTTTCCTCCAAACACTGTGTACTGTTCCCTTCCAGAAAGGTAGGAACATAGCCAGTTGGTTATCCAGCTGTCAGTGTTGACGCTGACTAACTTGTCAAGTAAACGTTGTCTTGATATAGAATCAAAAGCCGAAGTATAGTCCAGAAAGTTGAACACTATATTATGATGCAGAACAGCAACAGCATCTATGGTGCTTCTTTTGCATCTGTAAGCAAACTGATATGGGTCAATGTGCTCTTTTATCACAGGCTGGAGTGAAAGTGTCAATAATTTTTCGATTGTTTTGAGAAAGGGTGAAGTTATTGCAATAGGTCTAAATTTCACATTCTTATCACCAGATACTTTCTTGGGTACTGGGATTATCTTCATCTTTTTCCACATTTTCGGTATGAGATTGGAAGAGAAGGATCTATTAAAGATAGTAGTGAATGGATAACATAGGACGTCAGCACACTTTTTAAGAAGGAGGTTTGTGATACCATCAGGTCCTAAACATCGGGATGAATTTAGTGATTGGAGACATCTTCGGAAATCAGTTTCTGTGAAACCGGGAACAGCTATTCTTTAGACCTGTGAATAAAGGGAGCATTACATCAGATGACTGACGTACAAAAGACTTATTTAAGTCACAAACATTCAGCTAGTTATCGCTGCTAATCTGTTTGTCACCTGTAAGTTCTTTAAAGTTTCCACATACTTAGAGAGTTTTTACAAGACAAGAGTTTTTGAGTAAACATAGGGTTGAGACGACTAATCTCGAGGTTTATCAGACTTCACTAGAGTTTTTCTCCTTGTACATTCTTTCTTCCACCCTCCGTAGTCGTTTTAGTTGTGAAGATGTAAGTCGATCAGAACTTACAAAAATAGTTTCAGTGGGACAACAAATATCAAAACAGAATTTAAGGTAACAAGTGATAACACCAGAGGTGATTTCCAGTGAGTCATCTGTAAATAATTCCCAGTTAGTCGTATGAAACATGTCTTTCAGATTTCGGATATTTTCTTCTGAGTAATTCCTATATTTGACTGATCAATTGCAGTCCCAAACATCAATGGGAAGATTCAAGTAAAGCAATATCAAGTGAATTTGACCTTCTTGGTTTGATTTAAGAGTGAACCTTTCCCATGCTTTCCATATACTTTAGGTAGAACACGAATTATACAGTGATCCGAGCTAGACAATGGAGCACGTTTACGAGTCACATGTATACCTACATCATTAATGAAAACGAAGTCTAAATGAGCATCCAGCCGAGTAGGAAAATCTACTGCCTTTGGTGACCTAGTGATGTAAGGAAGCTACAGTCAGATGAATTGAAATCATCACGTACAACTGAAAGTGAATCACTGAAGGCAGTAACAGCGAACTCAGTGAATTCATTAGCGAAAACAGATAGCGCAGGTGATGTGCAGTCTGGAGTCATGTAAATATTAGTAACATAAACATATTTGTATTTATTCAGATGTTTTGGACGACATCTTCGAGTTAGTCGATAAAGTTATTTGAAAACTTGAAACACCCAAACGTAGATCGACGCCAGTTCACGTTTACAAAAGTAGCTACACCGCCGTCGATCCTGACGATAAATTTTTAAATCACGTAGGGATACTAGGCAGTCGTCCTGTAAATCATTTAACCAAGATTCTTGAATTGTGATGACACCACAATTACGATACATATTTTGACTTAGTAGGAATTGAAGATAGTCAATCTTGTTAATTAGTGATCGACAGTTAGAATTGAGCGACCCAGGAATCGACATACGATTAATGTTCATTCTCTTCAACGCATATTGCCAACCACCACGACGTCTTTTATTATAGTTTTTTGTAACTTGTGAAGCGAAAGGTCGTAGGCGTTTCATAAACGCGCCTGTATAGGTTATGCGATTAATGGACATAATGAAACGTGAAAACAAAATGAAAAAAACAGATAACTTGTTGAAATAATTAGATGGCAGAAACAGGTATTCAAGCAGGCCGCCTGAAGTTGTGTTTCACTTTACTTACATTAGTACAATGATATCGTTTTAATTATTTCAAACAAGTATCATTTATTTGTACATATTAATAAATGTGCAGAGGTATGGTATCATAATCTCAGTAGATTTGTTCTATCTTGGTTTAGACAATACGGTTTTGTCTGTAACTACAAAATACGTACTAATCTAAGCACAATGTTTGTTCGTTTGTACTTGATTATATAACAATTACTCAAAATGTATTTTCAGACTTGAAACACTAAAATTCTCATGATTATTAAGCTGGATATTGAACGAAAGCGTGTGAATATTTATGTAAGTATATAATATCCTTTATATTAAACAAAAGCAATAATAATTAATTAACTGTACATGGAAATTCTGTGAATAATATCATTTCAAGTGCATTCAAATATAATAATAAAGTGATTTATGCACTATTCTTAATTAAAAAATTTCAAATTTCAGTCTATTGTAAGAAATTTCAAAATACGCACCACGCATTTTTAAACAAGATTTAAAGCGAAACCAGTCATAATGACGAGCAGTACGAAAGGAAGACATGGGTCGAATATCTATGTTCACTAGAGTGAGATCAGAGAAGTGTGCAATTAAATATTCCAAAAAAAAGAGAAAAACATTGTGCACAGCTATATTATAAAAAATATATAGTTACTAGATAATAAGAAATAACTTTTTTTATATACCATGTGTGGATATTCACAAATGTATTATGAAAAAGTATAAATGAAGTAAATAAATGATGTACATAGGATGTTTTATACTCAATATAAATCACAAATCTCTGTATTGCAGTAAGACTTTCGGTTTTCTAGGTAACTCTGAAGAAGATTCTAAAGACTGATGTTGTTGCGTTTGTTGATTACGATCAGCTTCACCTATCATAGAACTGAAGAATTGTTCTCGTAATAAAGCGGATTTACTCATATTCGATGTTTTATGATGGTCGAATATTGGGATGGACTCAGTACAATTACTAGCCATACTATTTATATTATAACTGTTATTGTTTGGTGGCATAGATTTTTGATTGTTTTCGGATTTTGAACTTGTATTTGACCTGAAAGCAATAAAAATGGTTTAATAAGATACTTTCAGTCGAATCAAATTAGTCTTTGTATAATAATCATTGTTAAATTTCGTATTTCTCACTGCACGACGAAGCCTGTCGGTAAGATAAAATTCAATCAACACTAAATATTAGACACTGCTGTAATAATGGTTGCTATTTAGGAATAACCGATGTGTACTTGATCTACTGCAAAACGTAGTTAGCTTCAATCTATTTATCTTAGAAGTATCATGTCTGGTCGCATAATTGACCAATACATGTTGGAGTCACCATGGAAACGGAAGTGCCTTGGGGACTGTATACGTATGTTTTCTTGATAAATGCTAAGTAGTATGTGATTTATGTCCAAGATTCTATTCATTTAAAAATAAATACAGTGAATTATAATATTAGGCCACCCAGATTATCGACAAAATTTGATCTCGGCACCAAAAAACAATTGTTATTCTGCAAGTTGTCAACAAATAACCTTATGGAATAACCAGACAAAGTATTACCTTTCTAATATAAATTAATAAAGCAAAGAAGATGTTTCAGACTAGGGTGACTGACACCAATCAAAGTACTTAATTTTAACAGAAAATAATATTCACACATGCAATTAACTCCAGAATTTTTCTACCATCAGAATAAAGGATTTTTAGTTTAGGAGTTTGTATAAATTATTGGATCTGGTAGTTTGACATCACCTGTTGATCTTAGACAAGAAGTCAAAGCCCGGAATCGTGGACAGCTCTTTTGTCCTAGTACAACACTCTTCACTGCACATCCACGGTCCCACTACACATAGAACATAGAACTATCAAACCTCGATGTGATTTGTTTACCTGCAAACCACTGGGGTTACATAATAGGACGAAACAGTTGTCTAATAATCCTTGATTTTCTTAGTTAAGCTCAATCCGTGATATGAAACTACAGACGAAAATTTATTTGGCTATTCATTTTTCACTAAATTTCCCTTAATCAAAAGGTAAATTTGAGGAATACGGATTCATTCTCTACAAAAATATTAACAGATAAGGATAAATAGATATTCTGGTCAAATGTTTCACTCATACTATTTTCTAGTTAAATAGCCCAACAGACTGCTAACTATGACCAAATAAAATATATTTGAGCCGAATATTTGACCATCACCTAGTTAGTTCTGTCATACTTTAACAGACCACTTACTCGAAAGATTTTCCTGTATGTTGGATATAAGTAGGGTTGTTGAAATATTTGGAATTATTCAATCCAACGGTACCACTACTGGTAGGATTATCATCACATCTATTTGTCAATGAATTGTTTATTATTTGAGTAGAATGACAACTATTAGCATTATTACTAGCCATACTATTCAAAGCACGTTGCACGTGTATTGGATCGTTGAGTTTATTGTAACACAACGATGAGGATCTGGATAGACCTGGTTTCGGTGAACTTGTATTGATATTAGTTGATGCTAAACAAGACAAGAAAAACAAATTAAATTTTCCAAATTATATGAATTATCCAGAAAGTTTTGTGGTAAGATACACTATTGAAAAATCAGTATTTTTAGGAGTTATGAATACTGTACAGAAAATCTAGCTAGTCAAATTAGAATACTTTTTGGCGCTGCATAGTTTACTAGCAGTTCATTTTAGCACTACCAGAATTAACAAACAGTTTAAGACAAACGAAATCATTTCTTAGTGTACAGTTCACTTTTGAGTTAGCTATTAAAACCCGATGATGATAGTAATAATAGTTAAATATGATTGTCCAACTCATTCATTCCAGTAGTAGATCTCATCATTTTATTTATCTACTTCAATTTCAGAGAAAAAACTATAGAAATTCCAGTTAGACAAATCATGGTTAGTTGAATCTAACATTTCAACTGATATACATCTCTATCTCAAATTATATAATCTGTCATAAGTAAGAAGCTGATATTAAGTTGTTTTCTTTTTTTTTTGTTTATATTTCGAAATAGTAAATAATATAATGAAAATAAAAAAAAGTAACTTACTGTCTGATATAATGTTTTTATGAATTACATTATTTGATTCATCAGTAGTTGCTTTAATTTGTACAATTTCACTAATTTGTTTTTCGCATCTTTCTGTTGATGGAAGATTTTGACTATTCATACCATTACTACTGCTATTACTACTACATACTGAACGATCATGTGAATCATCGTTACCTAGATAGTATTTCAAAGAGAAGACAAACAAATGTGTATATCGTTAGAAGTAAATTAATATATATATATATATATATATATATATATATATATATATATATATATATATATATATATATATATATAGTGATTATCAGTTTTTTGAGTGACTCATATTCATAAGTACACAACTGGAAACAAAATGGTTCAACTTATGCGACAATACTTAACACAAAATATAAAAAGCAGTAAAATAAACAAAAAGAAAGACGGCAGTGAATAAGAGAGACGGATATGAAGTTTCGAAAACAAATAATAAGCTCCTCTGTGTCTAATGTAACTGGATCCAAACCATATAAAGAATGTCATAGTTCAGTCCCATGTCTTCATTCTTTACCAAACATTATTCTACTCTAGAAACAATATACATCAAGTTAAACGGTGGCTTAAAATTTCTAACATATAATCTGTTTACTTCAGCTGAAGTAAATAATTTACATTTATTAACTTGTCTTCTGTATCCACAGCTTCGATTAAGCCTGAACATTTATAAATTGATCGTTCTGCTACATGTATTGATAAATTAGCCTAAGATTTGTAATTGAATATTGATTTTGGTTATGTTGAATATATAACTTTTAATATAAGTACTAATTAAAAATAAGAAATTGAGTTTTAGATCGTTTTACAGAATACTTCAAAACTTCTAATATCAAATCTATTTTATTAAAGAATAATATTCATTTTGAAAACTACATTCTCTTAACTTACTCAACCAACCATTTGTGTTATTCAAATTAAGAATATGTTTATCGATTCGGTGTGGAAAATGATGAGTTTGATTAATTAATTGAGATTTTATACCATTTGAACTTGAATGAGAAGATCGACCAGAAATCGGTGAATCCATACATTCAGTAAATCTATCTGAGCTTAACCTTGATTGTGGTCGTTTCTCTATGCATGGACTCATTGTTAAACCACCGGAATTTGGTCTTATAGGCAATAAGAAATCGTGATTTCCAAATTGTTTATGATTTGAAATTTGAGGAGGAACAGCTGAACTTGGCTGAAAGGTTAAATTATAACTTAAATATAATTGTAGATAATGAAATGAATTCATCTAAAAAGATTTTTCAAAATGTTCAAGAAAAATATTAATTTATTAGTGGAAATGTATTTTAATTAATGACTTTTAAAAGGTTGAATGATCTACAGTGGTTTTGTAGTCAAAACACATTTTTTAAAATCACAACGTTGTAAATTTGAACCCCTTTTCATCCGTTTTTGGTTAGATTCTAGTAGTTTTATTAGCTCTGACATCAAACATATCACTTAAAACTGCATGTTTAGATTTGTACTTCCTAAATTAGTTAGATTGTTTATTAATACAGATAGTTTTATGACAAAATAGTGTCATAAAAAGACTTGTTAAACTATGGTTGCATAGTCAAACGTTTTTGGTGTTTCATCAGTAAATTTCAAACCACCCATTAGGTAACAAAATGAATCCTCTGAAAGGTAAGTTATCAGAGTTTCTCATAGAGAAAAGCTACCGTGAATTAAGAAGTCAGTCAAGTCCAAGTAAAAAAACTATAATTGATTGATTTCAATCATATTAGAGTGAAAGAGGTATCTGTCAATGGCACTGAATGATCGTCAAGCTACACCATAAACCAACTGTTACCAGAATTATAGACTATTAAATTTCGAACTCGGTGATCTAAAAGTAACACATTCGCTATGAACCTGATGGTTTTCAATTTGATTCTTAGTGGGAATTCAAGGATATAAAGTATTGTTAAGTTTAAAAATAGAATGAAACAAATAATTAATGTTTTCTGTTTCGCCAAAATTGATTATCGAAAGTCAATGTAAGAAGAAAACTATCTAACAAATAAACCAGTTACTTAAGTTTACTTCAATGGAACAAAAATAATAGCAAGGAATATTTAGTAAATAAATTAATATTAAAAACTAACTCGTGTGTTGGTTCCACTTGAATCATCTAAATATTTTAAAAATTGTTTTAAAGCATCCTGACTTTGTTCATCTGGATCACGATCATAAATGGACACTGAACCAGGTACAAGACGTTTATCGCAACGATGCAATGTTGATGATGTTTGTCCGATGGTTGGTATTGATCTGTAACTATCATTTAACCAGGAAGATTGAGAATGTAAAGTAGAAACAGTGCTATAACCTTAAGAGGGAAGGAAAAAAATCCACACAAAGTGTTCTCTTGGTCTGGAACTTCTCATCGGTATATAAATACAATACTATTTAAGATTAAAATTGGAACTTTCAAGTTTCCCGATGAGCTTGATATCTCTAGAACGTTAGATCAGATATAAATAGTCCACACTTCAAACTTCAATCTATATGTGACTGATCAAGTCAGTCAGTCGATGTAGTAAGAATAATAGGAATTGGAGAGGGAAGTTGATTATGAATACAGTGCTCTTGAGTGCTGTTAGAGGTATGAGGGTGGTTATCACTTCCTGGTTGAACACGCCGTGGAAGGGTTCTTCTGGAGGTATCTGAAAAGGAGATTGGATTAGAGGTGGTCTTAGTGACCTGAGAGCGTGAGTGCACTGCCCAAGGGACAACTGCTTGAGGTTGGTCACACATGATCTTTTTGTGGGTAATTTTCGTGTTAGCTTCGTACTTGCTGGTACTTTACCGACAGAGACGGATATCCGTGTGATAAGGCGAGGTGTTCATATTTAGGGTCAACCTTTTCTAACCCCACCCTACCTAGTGGGATGGCAGTATCGCTGTCATGCCTGTTGTCTGAAGAATACACCTTACTGCTGTCACACCTCTGTACAGTCAACAGTACGACTTGGCCTTCGGACCTTGGGTTTGTTGCTTTTAGTCTTACCGTTCTTCAACCAACCTGTCTGGCATGGTAGGACCTTGAGGAACGATTGTTACAGCCAGTATAGCTCGATTGGTTCATCACGATAGGCAAGCCCGACCACCACGTCAAGGTAGTAACAACGGTCATATACAAAAATATGACAAAACTTTATTTCAATAGTTGAAATTAAGAGTCAAATGAAACTAAACCACCATGGAAAACCTGGAAGCACTGGAAGGCCGTGTCGTCCCAGTATGGGACTCCTCAGCAATGCACATCCACGACCTCGCCTCCTGCGAGATTCGAACCCAGGACCTATCAGTCCCGCGCGCGAGTACTTAACCCTTAGACCATTGGGCCGACATCCAACGGTGCTAATGTCTAACTTAAACTAATCCACGAAATTGCGCCACCGTACACCCTTGTCTTCAGTGAGCTGATGTCTCACAACAGAGATGGTTGAACACTGGTCACGGCTTCTCACTAGAACTCCAGGAAATGCCTCTTGAAGTCAGTCACTAGTGAGCAGATGATTATTATCAAACGGGGTTTTGTGGAGATTTTAAAATTTTCAATAGTTGAAATCATGAGTCAATTGAAGCTGGACCACCAGGGAAAACCTAGAAGCACTGGACGGCCCTTTCGTCCTAGTATGGGACTTGTTAACAGCACGTATCCATCTTTTTCCTTTAACAGAATATTGCACTAATTTCGCTCAATAATCAAAGTTGACAGTTATCAATGCATTCAAAAGTTATTCAATATCAATCAAGAATCAACAAAAAAGCATTTCTTTTTTAAGAAATCAAATAGTATTTTAACATGAAAATATTATACTACTCAGAATATATCAAGCGATTAAATCTTACAAAGAAAATTGTTTTAATTAATTCACCTTACCTAAATTATTTTTATTGTATTCAGCATTGTGTGGAAAATGATGCTAACAGAAGAATTCAGCAAAGATTTTATTAAAAAGAAAAAAACAGCAACCGAAAGATTGAGTATTGAATGATTAATTTGAAGAAAAAAAATCAATATGGTTAATAAAAAGGTAAACAAAAAATCTAGTGAGTATTATTTTTTTCTCTGTAAGATCCCACCCAAATAAATAGAACTAGTGAATCAAGTTCAATACTATATTTTTATATTGAATACTGATGAATTAAACTATTTCTTATTGAAATTAATCTAAGTAAATTTAAGAGATTCATTATGATATGACTACCAATTTTCTTATTCATAAGTTACTATTTATTGCTTTATTCATAGTCCGACTGTTTTGTTTGAATATTTTTATAATATAAATCATAGCTTAAACTCAATTATCTATTTAACTAGTTGGTCAATTGTGCGATCTTAAAACTCAGTTTCCTTTTGTGGATTGGATAATCGATTCCGTACCCCAAACCCGACCGTAGCTGCTACCTTGACGTGGTGGTTGGGCTTGCCTATCGTGAGGACCCAACCGAGCTATATTGGCTGGAACACATGTTCCTGCAGGTTCTATCATGTCAGGCAGGTCGATTGGAGAACGGTAAGACTAAAAGCAGCAACTCAAGGTCTGAGGGCGAAGTCGTACTGCTGACTGTACAGAGGTGTGACAGCAGTAAGGTGTTTCCCTCGGACAACCAGAATCTGCAGCGATGCTGCCTTCTCACAAGGAAGGAAGGGGTTAGAAAAGGTTGACCCTAAAAATGTCACACCTCATCTTACCCCTCGGATTTCCGTCTCCGGCGGTAAGGCCCTTTGAAGAACGGAGCTAACACATTAAAAACCTCCCACAAAAAGGCCGTGCGCGACCGGCCTCAAGCAGTTTTCCCTTGGGCTCTGCGGTCACGCACCCAGGTCGTTAAGACCAACACTGACCCGATTTTCTTTTCAGGTTTCTCAAGAAATACCCTCCCACGGTGTGGGCAGCCGGGAAGTGACATCTGCCCTCATACCCGTAACAGCACACGAGACCAAGTTGGTCACATTCAAATCCTTCCTACACCTCCTAATAACTCTCTTATCTCCACGACCAACCCTTCTCACGTCCCTTTATCACCTCGCCCCGCTAGTGAAAACGACTCCAGTACGCGGAATCTTGTTCCTGGTCTCCTGAAACCACGCTCTAAACTACACATAGAAGCTTTCAACGTCCGAACACTGTGCCAAATAGGAAAACAGGCTTCCTTAGCTAGGACTTTAGAATCTCGCTCCATCGATGTGTGCTGCGTCTCCGAAACGCGCACACAGGACCCGAGTAGTGTCATTCATTTGACCGCACCATGTCAAAGTAACGAACCAACTCGATTTACGCTTCGTGTATCTGGAAGCCCTGATGCTGCTTCCCGTGGCCTCGCTGGCGTGGGTATAGCATTGAGTCCTAGGGCAGAACTAGCTCTCTTAGACTGGATCCCAGTAGACAGTCGTTTGTGCGCTGTCCGACTAAACGGAACAGTAAGGACTCGGAAAGATAGGGACACTCGTCGTTGCCTCTTCGTCGTCTCTGCCTACTCTCCCACTGACTGCAGCTCAGATAATGTACAAGATGAGTCTTACAGAAAGCCTTCCGACCTTCTCCGTAAAGCTAGGCGTTCAGATGTAGTAATAGTGGCTGGTGACTTTAATGCTCAAGTAGGTAAACTGAGCGAAAGGGAAAGACACCTGGGTGGATCTTATGGTGTCGCGGTTCAAAGAACAGATAACGGCGACCGTCTGTTGCAGCTATGCTCAGATAACCGCCTGTTTCTTGCAAACACTAACTTTAAGCATAAGGAAAAACATCTTTTAACATGGCGATCCCCTAATTCGTCCCAACGCTGGACCCAAATAGATCACATCGCTATCAGCCACCGATGGAGGGGCTCGATAGAAGACTGTCGCTCATTCTGGAGCACATGCTTAGACTCAGATCATGCTCTAGTGCGAGCGCGTATTTGTCTACGTCTTACTGGACGTAAGAAAGATGATACAAGGAAACCCCTTAGGGTCCTACTTAATGATAGTCAAGCTAAGAGTATATTTCAGGAACATCTAGAAAAACAGTTAGGCAGCCATGTAAGTGATGCCCACCCCGAGGCAGCGTGGAATGACATCCGAAAAGCTGTAGAAACAGCAGTGATGTCTGCAAGTACGGTAAACCATAAGGTTAGGGAGAAACACTGCATCTCAGCAGCATCTACCCCACTGATAGATGCTCGTAAACTCATTCCATCTGGCTGTGAACATAACGAACAGCGGAGTCAGCTTAAGCGTAAGCTGACTAGAAGCCTACGCATTGATCGTGAACAGTGGTGGGTAGCGAAAGCAAGAGAGATGGAAAAGGCAGCGGCAATAGGTAAAAGCAAACAACTGATCAGACTTGTTAAGGAAACCGGTATTAGGAACCCAACTGTTAGCGAAACAATCTCAGAGAAAGATGGACATATTATTCATTCTCAATCCAGGAGATTGAATCGATGGGCAGAACACTTTGAGGATCAGTTCAACTGGCCTTAGGCCACACTTCGGTTTACCACGATCTCCAGTCGACCTGAATGGCAAGTTGATGTAAGTCCTCCGACTCTTTACGAAGTTGAAAAAGCTATAGGAAATCTGCAGCGTGGGAGAGCAGCAGGCCCTGACAGGTTTACCTCTGAAATTTTTAAGGATGGCGGTCCAGTATTAGCAGCGAGATTGACTGAGGTCTTAGGTAGAATCTGGGAACTGGACGTAATCCCATCTGACTGGTCTCAATCACTGATTGTGCCAGTCTATAAGAAAGGACAAAAGTCTTCTTGTGACAATCACAGAGGAATTAGTTTGACTAATATAGTGTCTAAAATATTAGCTTCAATAATACTTCGACGTCTAACCAAAGCTCGTGAAGAGCAGACTAGGGAAAACCAGGCTGGTTTTCGACCTGGACGTGGTTGTATAGATCAGATATTCACACTACGTCAGGTCCTAGAACATAGACACACATTCAGACGCTCCACAATGATAGTATGTCTCGACCGTAAGGCGGCATTTGACTCTGCTGATCGTGAGGTTCTATGGCAGTGTTTGTCATTGAAAGGAGTACCAAAGAAGTACATTAACCTTATAAAGGCTCTCTACTCGAACACAACTGGTCGAGTGAGAGCTTATGGCGAACTGTCATCAGAACTGATTACCTCAAGTGGTGTTCTTCAGGGCTGTCCACTCTCTCCATTCTTGTTTAACTTTGTCGTTGACGTGTTTTTAGAGATGACACTTTCCTCATCTGAATTTCTAGGAGTTGAACTTCTACCGGGGGATTTACTTGTTGACTTAGAATATGCCGATGACAGTTCTATTTAGTGAAGACGCTGACAGAATGCAGAGTCTGCTGACCACTCTAAGCAACAATGCAGGCATGTTCGGCATGCGATTTTCTCCCTCGAAATGCAAAATGTTGCTTCAGGATTGGATTGCATCGACACCCGAACTAGTGATAGGGAGTGAAGTAGTTGAGCGTGTCGACCGCTTCACTTATCTCGGAAGTCTCATCAGCCCTTGTGGTCTGGTGTGTGATGAAATCTCAGCACGGATACAGAAGGCTCGACTAGGTTTTGCCAACTTGCGTCATTTGTAGAGTAGGCGAGATATCCGTCTATCAACCAAAGGACGTGTTTACTGCGCAGCAGTTCGTTCTGTCCTACTTTATGGCGGTGAAACATGGCCAGTAAGAGTAGAGGATATTCGTAGGTTACTAGTATTTGACCATAGATGTCTTCGAAACATCGCTCGTATATCCTGGGACCACCGAGTAAGTAATGCAGTTGTTATGAAACGGGTACCAGGTAAGGATGGCAAATCAATTGATGAAGTAGTGAAACTTAATCAGTTGAGATGGCTGGGACATGTGTTGCACATGCCCGACCACCGACTGCCCCGACGTGCTATGTTTTATGGTGTAGGAGTAGGTTGGAAGAAAGATAGGGGCGGCCAGATCAAAACATGGCACAAATCCATGAAGTCACTGACAAGTGGACTGAGTCATGTTGGTAGGTGTAGACTACCTGGTTGGGGACCGCGAGACGATAGCAAGCGATGGTTAGAGACCTTGAATGACATGGCTCAAAATCGTTTGCAATGGCGCAGGTGCATCCACTCTTTGTGTTCTCTCAAACTCTAATCTTCTGAATTCTTCATGTCCTTTATTTTCTTTCCCAATTTATTCCACTGGACTATACTCTTTTAATAACATCATCAAACCTTAATGTCCCCTATCTCTACTTATACTTTCAGTACCTCTACCACTATGGGATTTGAATTGATAACTGAATCTCTGTGCTAATGTGGTATGGCAACTCGAACTGATGTACGTACGTACGAAGTTCCACGTTGTTACTGACTGACTGACTGACTGACTGACCCAAACCCCTAAATGCCCTGTTACGGCCGAGAGTCAGCTCTTCCTGTCAAAATGCTCTTACATGGCCACGTGCATACAACAACTGCCAGGGAAGTCCTACTCACTGAATCCTCGCAGCGAGGGTATTGATTACGAAATTGAGAGGACGGAAAACGAATTTCCGGTGCTTTAACCGGGTTGGTGGATACGGAGAATCCACCTAGGAGAGTTGGAAAACACTGATTCCAAACCAACGGTGTACATAGACTCAAAGATCCTAAGGAAAAAAATGACGCATAAACCAAATATTGGTCTCTGGCCACCTTGGGATTGCATTTCATAACGTTGCTCCACCACCTTGTAGATTAGTCCTTTAGGTCGACTGCGCGGAGTGTGGCCTTATAGGAAAACCACCTGCTTCGGTTTGGGCACCCGGGCAATATCCCAGCCCCCACACAAATTGCATGATTTGTGTTGCGCATATCTATTTGGTGCTTTCTTGTACCAATATTTATGTGTTTAAATAATAGATAAATAAATCCATACCCAAATGATCGGTCTGCCCTACTTTAATTATCTCATTATTTAATTTGATGAATTATGCTAATATATAACAGCAATTATGATTCAGTATCGGGCAGAAATCAGAATCTCTAAGTGGTTTCACAACGAGCAAGTTATATCTCCCAACCACTGGAAATTCAGTGATCACCTCTGTCAAAACTCCAATTATTTTGCAATGTACTTCGACCAGCTATGTGATTTTATCAATCAGAAATTTGCTCACTACTCCTACCCACATTAACTCTACAATTAAACCGATAAATCAATCTCCATGCTTGCCACTTTAAACCATACAATTATGATTTATATTAGCGATTTTTTGAGATTACTGAGACCTAAACTTGGCGATCACAACACAATAATATTCTTCCGTTTTCATCAATTCTATAGCTGAGATCAGTATGTGATTTAAAAAAGAAACTATCTTCTGACTAAAATAAATCTTCAGAAAAACCCATGCATATGTAAAATTATCTAATTGTATCCACTTACTTTATTTAATGCTGCCCGAGCTCTTTGAATAAGCGTCAAACGTCTTTGACTTCTATAAATGAATCAGGAATCAAGGTAGAAATTAAACAAAATAACAGAATCAAATAAACCTAATTGGTGATATATATATATATATATATATATATATATATATATATATATGAGTTAAATTTACTTATACATTTAGTATGACAAAATTATTGGCCTGTGTGTGTTTATAGAGACGATATCATGAGAAATATAACTGAATAAGACCATAGATCATATAAATACACTATACAGATTATAATCGAAGCCATAATAGTAAAACTGTACTTCATGGACGATCATAAACCACTCTGTGAATGATGTTAACCAATGAATAAACAGGCAGTGAAAATCATAAATTTGTCGTCAAGATACTAACCAAGCATGAATGTGTATGGGGTGGTGCAAAAATTGAAGAATCACTTTTTTGAGCCTGATTGTTTAGTCACTACTATGTACCTTTAGCTGTATGATGTGTTTTATATCACAAATTGTTACAGATTACATCACAGATTACAAAAATTTGATTACACAAGATTTCAGTAATCAAACAAATAAAACAAATTTTAAATGGTGAAAATATATCAAGCGTTCTGTAAAACAGCTTAAAATAGGTTGTGAAATAAAGTTGAAATATAAATTAAATAATATAAAGACATTTTTTTAAAATGACAGACCAGTTCAAGTGGTCAATGCACTTTAAATCCACTAATTAAGGAAATCCATGACAAAGTAAAAATTCGTATATTCTACTTCAAGTTATATATTTTATTTGAAAGTTACCTGAACTGTTTAGGTATGTTAATCAAAGTCAGTGTAGCGGTGTTTGAACGTGTTACCTGTTACTTAAAAGATCAACGACCACAAATAAACACTGACTTGATATTTTTCTCTTTTTTGTTTGTACTACATACTGAACATGAAGTAGAATTATTCAAATTATGACATGCATAAGCACTCACAATCATCATTAGCACAATACTGTACAGATGAATAGTTAAACAGAAAATATCAACATAATGTTGTTGTACATGCACACATAAAAATATTTATAGCTTTATTTTACTTAGAAAGTAAAACAAAAACTTGTGTAAGCAATTTTGCACTTAGAAACTATTACGTAATACATGTTTCAGATTAAAAAAGCTTTAATATTCATTGTTCCAACTTAAAATATATACTGAAAACAAATTGAGTAGTAAATTATTCTTTAAACAAAATATTATGAATAATTCATATTCACAGTAGATTGGGATTTGATCGATGTATTTATTTTGTTTTAATGAATTATCAATTTATTCAAATATTCTGAATAATTGTCAACTAATTATTGCAACAATCATGAATTGAATAAGATCAATCTGTAAACGGAATTTAACCCGACTGATAATTATGCCTTCAAATGGGATAATTAGGATTGTATTATCCTATTTCTCACTGCTCGATATAAATGTATTAAGAAATCGTATGGAAATAGATATTAGAATGAAATCCATGACGTTGATGCAGTCTAAAATCTAGTATAAGACACTTAATTCATACAAAGTAGTGAAGTGTATAGTTCGAAACCCGCTTACCCTATTCCATCATGAACTTATGTTTAGTATCACTAGCCATAAAGGAAAAGTTATGGCTAAAACATCGAATGCATAATCTTAACATGATTATTAAGTGGCGTTAATAACTAAGACGATCTAGATCAAGGTTCATAACAAAATAGTCAATATTTTCTCATAAATAAGCCAGTTCTACATATGAAATAATAATTGTGCATATAGCATTACATGTGTTGATAGACAAAGTGCATTTTATATAAGTAAAATGTGCAAATTTGAGGCAAAGCAAGCAGAATACAATTTCAATATTTTTTGAGCGTTCTCCTTATTACTTACTCCAAAAGCAGTTGATTAGTCAAATCACTAGAATGAATAAAATATAATAATTGACAATTGTTTTTAATCGATCCGTAACCAGACTAACCGTTTTGAAAATAAATTACTATGACAAACTTCAAGAAAACTGTTAACCAAAGTAACAAAGTTAACGGAACGACTTATCTAATCTTCACTTAACTAATAACTCATGTATAGATCAATGTCATAAAAAGTGTAGTAAGAATCTCTAATCCATAAAATTAATCGGGAACTAACTGCAGATGTATGAAAATTATACAAAGAGTAATTTGATCGGTAAGTGGCAGTTGATGGTGTTTTACTATATATACTTAATGATGATGGATCTGTCAATTAATGTTAAAATTTAACATTTCTTTTATACTGAAATAATCGTCAATTTACATATATTGTATAGTATGTAACTAATTTAACTCCGCCTGGAGCCCCTTTCCGGGGGCTACTGCCGGTCCCAAGCCCGGATAAAGAAGGAGGGTTGGGCATGGGGTTAGCGACCCCATCCCGTAGAAAACTAACTCGCTAAAAAAACGCTAACCAGAAAAAATTATTCAAACCATTTAAACTCTGCCCTGGGAGGTCTTCGTTTAGAAGAATTATGACGCCTCATGATGAAAGCCGAGTTTCTTCGGAAGTCACGAGGCCGATGCCCCTTCTGACAACCAAAGCAACCATTTATTTAGGTACATGGAATGCTCGCACAATGTGGGAGACTGGGAGAGTTTTCAAAATTGCTGCAGAAATGAGGAGATACAATTTAGAGGTGCTTGGGATCAGTAAAACACATTGGACGCAAGTTGGACAACAACGACTAGCTTCAGGGGAGCTGCTGTTATACTCCGGACATGAACAAGAAAATGCTCCACATACACAAGGAGTTGCATTGATGCTGTCCAAACAAGCACAAAATGCACTTATAGGATGGGAATCTCATGGACCAAGGATCATCAAAGCCTCCTTCAAAACAAAGAAAGAGGGCATTACAATGAACGTCATCCAATGCTATGCGCCTACCGACGACTACAATGAAGACGCTAAAGATCAATTCTACGATAGGCTGCAGTCAATCGTCGAGAAGTGCCCAACAAATGACCTGACCATTCTGATGGAAGATTTAAATGCCAAGATTGGAATGGACAACACTGGATATGAAGACATCATGGGACAACACGGACCGGGAGAAATGAACGAAAATGGTCAGAGATTTGCAAACCTATGTGCCTTCATTAAACTGGTCATAGGCGGCACTATATTCCCACATAAACGCATACACTAAACCACATGGACTTCACCGGATCACACCACACAGAACCAAATCGACCATATCTGCATCAACAAAAAGTTCAGGAGGACGTGAGAACAAAGAGAGGAGCTGATATAGCATCAGATCATCACTTGCTGGTCGCCAAGATGAAATTGAAACTCAAGAGGCACTGGACAACGGGGAGGACAATATCCCAAAAGTTTAATACGGCTCTTCTTCGGGATAATGACAAATTCAATAAATTCAAGATAACCCTCAGCAATAAGTTCCAAGCCTTTCATGATCTACTCAATGGAGAAGGAACTACTATGGAGAGCAACTGGAAAGAGATAAAAGAGGCAATCACTTCAACATGTCATGACGTTCTGGGCCAAAAGAAGCACCATCACAAGGATTGCATCACGGTCGATACACTGGATAAGATTCAAGAAAGGAGGAACAAGAAAGCAGCAATCAATACCAGTCGAACAAGAGCAGAAAAAGTCAAGGCACAGGCTGAATACACAGAAGTAAACAAGCAAGTGAAAAGGAGCATCAGAACTGACAAACGTAAATATGTGGAAGATTTGGCATTGACGGCGGAAAAGGCTGCCAGAGAAGGAAACATGAGACAACTGTATGAAACAACAAAGAAACTCTCTGGAAATCACCGTAAACCAGAACGACCAGTGAAAAACAAGGAAGGCAAGATAATCACCAACATTGAAGAACAACGAAACAGGTGGGTAGAACACTTCAAAGAACTCTTGAATCGACCAGCCCCACTGAACCCACCCAACATCGAAGCAGCACTCACGGACCTCCCAATTGATGTTGGCGCACCGACAATTGAAGAAATCAGCATGGCTATCAGACAAATCAAGAGTGGCAAAGCAGCAAGACTAGACAGCATTCCAGCAGAGGCACTGAAAGCAGACGTAGCGGCAACTGCAAGGATACTCCAAACTCTCTTCAGAAAGATCTGGGATGAGGAACAGGTACCAAATGACTGGAAAGAAGGACTTCTAGTCAAAATACCAAAGAAAGGCGATCTCAGCAACTGTGACAACTACAGGGGAATCACTCTTCTTTCAATACCAGGAAAAGTCTTCAACAGGGTATTGTTAAACAGGATGAAGGACTCCGTAGACGCCCAACTTCGAGACCAACAGGCAGGATTCCGTAAGGATAGATCGTGCACAGACCAAATCGCAACTCTACGGATCATTGTGGAACAATCAATTGAATGGAATTCATCACTCTTCATCAACTTCATCGACTACGAAAAAGCATTTGATAGCGTGGACAGAACAACCCTATGGAAGCTTCTTCGACACTACGGCGTGCCTCAGAAGATAGTCAATATCATACAGAATTCCTATGATGGATTAAACTGCAAAATCGTGCATGGAGGACAGTTGACAAAGTCATTCGAAGTAAAGACAGGTGAAAGGCAAGGTTGCTTACTCTCACCCTTTCTCTTTCTCCTGGTGATCGACTGGATCATGAAGACATCAACATCTGAAGGGAAGCACGGGATACAGTGGATAGCTAGGATGCAGCTGAACGATCTAGACTTTGCAGATGATCTGGCTCTTCTATCGCATACGCAACAACAAATGCAGGAGAAGAAAACCAGTGTAGCTGCAGCCTCAGCAGCAATAGGTCTCAATATACACAAAGGGAAAAGCAAGATTCCTCGATACAACACAGCATGTACCAATCCAATCACAATTGACGGAGAAGCTTTGGAAGATGTAAAAACCTTTACATATTTGGGCAGTATCATCGATGAACACGGTGGATCTGATGCAGATGTGAAGGCACGGATTGGCAAAGCAAGAGCAGCATATTTACAACTGAAGAATATCTGGAACTCAAAACAATTAGCAACCAACACCAAAGTCAGAATTTTCAATACAAATGTCAAAACAGTTCTACTGTATGGGGCGGAAACCTGGAAAACTACGAAATCCATCGTCCAAAAGATACAGGTGTTTATTAACAGTTGTCTACGCAAAATACTTCAGATCCGCTGGCCGGACACTATTAGCAACAACCTACTGTGGGAGAGAACAAATCATATCCCAGTGGAGGAAGAAATCAGGAAGAAACGCTGGAAGTGGATAGGACACACATTGAGGAAAGCACCGAACTGCATCACAAGACAAGCCCTCATATGGAATCCTCAAGGTCGAAGGAGGAGAGGAAGACCAAAGAATACATTACGCCGGGAAATGGAGATAGATATGAGAAAAATGAACAAGAATTGGATGGAACTAGAGAAGAAGGTCCAGGACAGAGTGGGTTGGAGAATGCTGGTCGGCGGCCTATGCTCCATTGGGAGTAACAGGCGTAAGTAAGTAAGTAAGTATGTAACTAATTTGAAACAGGTGTACTCCAGAATTTATATTCCATTTAATTCTATAATTATAGAAAATATAACATTAATTCATAAAAAAGACAGTTTCTAAAAATCATATTTTAATAATTGAGATCATGAGTCAATTAAAGCTAGGCCACCATGGAAAGCCTGGAAGCACTGGAAGGCCGTTTCGCCCTGTCGTGAGACTCCTCAGCGGTGCGCAGTTACGACCTCGAGAGACTCAAACCCAGGACCTATCAGTATCGCGCGCAAGCTCTTAACCTCTAGACCACTAAGCCGGCATCCAACAGTGTTGATGTCTAACTTCAACTAATCCACGAAATTGAGCGACACATCCGCCATTGTTTTCAGTGAGGGGTTTCACAATAGAACGAAATGGTCGTCTAGTGCTTCCAGGTTTCCCGTGGTGGTCTAGATTCAATTGACTCATGATCTAAACGATTACAATTACTATAATACCCACCAGACCCCTTCTGGTAAAAATCTTATTGTTACGTCCTCTACTTGATTACGGCACAATACGATATACAACTGACAGTACTCGAATGTGTATAACCCCACAGTCGTAAATCGGAAGACGGAAAAATCAGTGAATGTGATTATTGATTAACGATCATAAATGTACAGAAAAACCTGGGTATTCATAGTGATTAATGTTAGCCATAACATTATTATACTTCATTCAATGCGCAAGAAGGTGCGTTATTCCACCGTCCAATCGTAGCGTGCCACATTGATAAACTACAAAGCTCCATTAAACTTTTAGTATCATATCCCTTCTCTCTATTAAAAATTATGAATAACTATTACTGTAAACTAAGGATACAGAGATAAAAGAGCACACTAATTTAAATAACTGATAGATTAATTCATGTAATTAAATATAAAATTAATTCAAATGGAAATTAGCCTGTTTAATTAACAACATTAAAAATACCTTTTAGATGATGAACCATTACGATATTGTTCCATAACTTTTTCTTCAAGTTGTTGTTTTTGTCTATGCATAGATAATAAACGTTCTCTACAAAATAGAAAAGGTACAGGATTTTGATTTTTAACATTTTAAAGTGACGCTATCAAGTACATAAATAAGTTAATGTTGTTGATAACCTGCCTAGATTTAGTGTTTAAACAGAGATTGATAATAACATAAGATCCGAAAAAATAGTGTACTATTTTTACTGATTACATGTCCATGTCTTTACAATTGATTGATCACTGAGTAATAACCAATATCATGTAAGTCAAATCCTTCTTAGTGCCGATCGTATTCTATCGATCAAATTGCAATTTACTCACTAGTCTTGAAGACCCAACATCTTATGAACTATGTCGAGGTGTGAACTGATGATTGGAGGTAGTTAACAAGAAACTCTGGGTCTCGGTTTCGTGCATTACATAATTATGATCAGAATGGGGGTTTGTAGATACTGTAGTAATTTTAATAGTTGAATTCTAGCTTATATGGAATTATGAATTCAACTATGAAAATTAATACAGTCTACGAATTCCCATTCTGATAATTATGTAAGTCTTTTTCCCTTCAACTTTTTTGCATCGTTGAAAGATATAGCTACTGGAATAATTCCATATTACAAGTTAAATGTTAAAGGTCTTTTTCGATCATACATTTATGCTATCATTTAAATCCCTGCTAACAAATATACAATTCTATAGTCAGATTTTAAACTGATAATCAATATTAGAAAAGTTTTGTGGATATTATAGTAATTTCATTGGTTGAGATCATGAGTCAATTGTTTGTCAATAGTTTGTGGATCTGTGGAAGATCCCTACATTAAGAATTAAAGTAGATCTGAGTAGTGTGAAATTACAGTAATTGATTTATTTATAAACGAATTATTAACAACACTTACACGTTATGACCCTAAAAAAATGAAGTTAACCACTGAAAAAAATCAATAAAAATTCTAGTACCTGAGTACACCTTCTTGACTGACATGATTTTCACAATTTTTCAAAGTTGATGCTAAAATCTCTTGATTTTGATTCAATAAACTTTGTAATTGACTAAGTAGTGATTTATTTTCTTTTTCATATTTCGAACTAAGTTCTGTTAACATCTATGATATTTATAAAGAAGATAAAAAAGGAAAATAATAAAATATCTTATAACTAGGTTTGGAGCGGTTACGAGTTCACTTAGACTACGAACGGAAACAAAGACTCGGTGACTAAAGACCAATAAGCTAGCTATTCGACGCGTCCCAGGCCCGCTAACTAGAGGAAGAAGTTCAAGCTTGGAAGGGGGAACTATATTCCGCACAAGTCAGAAAACGAGCGATAACAACAAACACGAATCAAAACGTACATATATATATATAGCACAAAACCGTCCTTGGGGAGAGTTACAAAATAGCATACTAAAAGACACAACGGACCGATAGCATTTATGATTTTTCCCAAGTGGGAAAGACTACATGAAGGTGAAAAGAGCGCTTTTGGCGCCAAAACAAAGGAATTTAAATTTTCTAAATAAAATTACAAAATTAGGTTGTTTTCCAGGTGAGTCCCTAACACTTATACATAAAAGATTACTTGAATAGAATTAATGAAAGAATTGAAATGAATAAATTAATCTTTCTTTTATGAAACTATTCATTAAATATCATCTAACTGAATAGATTCCGTGAAGATGGATCATTGATCAACTGACTGAATGTATGAGTACACATTTCAATTAAATAAAGCATTTAATCATGCATCAAAATGCATAATTAAAATAGCATGAATCAATTTATCAGAAATATTGGTAAAATATGGTAATATTGTAACTAAAGATACTTTACTTCTGTTCATCATAACAAACATGTAGAAAAATTCCATAAAAAGCAACGTGTTTATGAATGAGTTCAGACCACATCAACTGATGACTATACTAAAAAAATAACGATCGTGTATACTCAAACAAAGTAAGTTTGTGTCTCTTAACAAAGCCTAAAACAAAAATCAGTGAATTCATGTATTGATCTTTTGTGTTTGTTTGATTATAACTATGTATAACCTCCTCATCACTCACGCGATAATTTCACCATTTGTGAGCTATACTGATGACCTAAATATTCATTAGAACTTCAAAATTGATGTTTAATAACTATTCAGTACTATTTTTAAGTACATTCTAGCTTTTGAATAACAGACATTTAAACAACGGTCTATTATACAACTAACCATATATTCAGATTTCCACTAAAAGAACATATTCATCATATGTAAAATGTCAACTTGATTTTCTTAAATTTTATGGCTTGATATAGATTAATATCAGTAAATTATCAATATTCAGTCAGTCAGTTACAACGTAGGACCAGGCACATATGTGCATCGGTCCAAGTTGCCACACCTCATTAGCACAGCAAGATGAACACCATATTCATAGAAGCAATCAACTCAATGGTGTAATATATAAAGGAAAGATTGCATATAAGGATATAGTACAGGAAGAAAGTTAGTTCGTAGAAAGAAAGACACGAAGCGATTTTAATCTCATAGTTTAAGGAAAAACAGAGAGTGTATACACCTACGCCACTGTGATCGATTCTAAGCTATGTCACCCACAGTCCCCAACCACTGGTTACGATAGTCACGTGGACCCCGACCAGGTAGTCTGCATCTACCAACATGGTTCAGACTAGAAGTTAGTGACTTCAAGCACTGATGCCACGTTTTGGTTTGGCCGCCTCTAACCTTCTCCCAACCATCCACAATACCAACTAGCATTGCGCGTCGTGGTAATCGCTGTTCAGGCATACGCAACACGTGGCCCAACGATCTCAGACGATGATGATTCATAACCTCATCAACTGATTTACCGTCATTTCCTAATACCCTGCATCTAACATCACTATTACTTACCCGGTGATCCCAGAAGATGCGAGCAATATTTCTAAGACATCTGTGGTCAAATACTAGTAACTTACGAGTATCGTCTACTCTTAATGGCCACGTTTCGCAGCCGTAAAGTAGAACAGAACGAACTGCCGCGCAGTATACTCGTCCTTTAATTGACAGACGGATATCTTTCAATATTAACAGATAACAAATAATTTTAACTTACTTGTAATCGTGTTTTTAAACTTTCTATTTCATTATGTAATGTTTGTTCTAATTTTTGATATTTTTGTAATTCATTAGTTAATTGTTCTTTTCTATGTTCACTATCTTGTAATTGATGACGAATTTCTCGATTACGTTCTAATATATTAGTTTTTTCATGTCTTTCACGAGTTAATATTGCATTTAAAGAATTTAATTCAGATTGTAAACGTGCATTTTCTTCTCTGAATTGAACAATTTGTTTCACTTCACCTAGTAATTAATTATTAATCATCAAATTATGATGATACTATTATTATTATTAGTTATAGATTTATATATATGCATATAGATTTAAAAATATGAATTCAGTGTTGAAACGACCCAACTAAACCATTGGACACTAATGTTACTTATATGTTCTAATTTCATGTATATATTTAGTTTGAATGACGAGTAATTTATAAATAACTGAACAAATTACAAAACTGATACTAAATAAACTACAAACTATGATAAATAATAGAATCTTCAATAGAAATTTAGGATAATCAATCTCTAGACTGATTATATAAAAAATCTTACTTAATATCATTATTAGAATAAAAAATGAATCCGTTGAATCTGACGAGCGATTGATATACTTCATTAAGATCCATTGAATTTCATAATTTTATAAATTGGGATAATGTAGAGAAGTTCACATTTTTCCCTAATGTTGTATAACATTTCATGATATTTCAACATTGATTTTATCTTCAGTGTAATATTTTAGTCCTTACAATAGTAAGTTTTACTTTTTTCAGTGTAACATTATTTCAGATTAACATTTTTCCTTGAGAATATTTACCTACCTATTAGGGCTAAATGAAGGTTATAAACCAGTATGATGAATAAAGATTATGATTTGCAGTTGATGGCTAGGAATTAGATTTAGAGTTTTCATTACCAACTGAAATCAGATAAAATGCCAAAACGTTATTTAACCAAATGGATGAATGAGTTTCGCACCAAAACCTAAGACTTGTTTTCCTAAATCTGATTGGTTCGTTCATAAATTATAATCTCGTCAACCGATTTGTTTGAAACCACATACACAACTTGAAAATCCTACCATTAACCATCGATGTTTAATGCTATCATAATTTAACTATTAGTATTGATAGCAGTTAGTCACTTTGATCTTAAAACAAAAAAAATACACCAATGAGATCAAAATATAGTTTATAACATCATTTTTTTCTTTATAATCTCACCTTTTAAACTACCTCTTTCTTGTTCTAATGCATTTTTTAATCGTTGTACTTCATTTGCTTCACTTTGTAATTTATTAACTTGTTCATTAGCTAATTGTATTTCTGCTTTTAATTGACGTTGAGATTCTTTTGAAGTTTTCAATGCTTCAATTAATTGTTCATAATCTTGTGTTAATTTTTCATGTAGACATTGTAATTGTTCATAATCAGTAGTTAATTGTGATTTAGATGTATGCATTGTATCAAGTACATTTGATAAATGGTGAATTTCAGCTAGGTTAATAATAAATATATGAAACTAGTAGATGAAAGATGGTAAACATATTAACAATTTACTATCTAATATAATTACAGTATTGAAAATGTTGCACTGTCGTGAACGATATATATCTGAAGATTTTGACTTTCATTTATTTGATTTATAAGAAATTCTCTGTATGTTGAATGCTTGCACATCGATTCACTGAGTGGCGAAATTTCGTGGACTGGTTGAAGTTAAACATAAACACCATTGGATGCCAGCTCAGTGGTCTAGAGGTTAAGCGCTCGCGCGCAAGACCGATTGATCCTGGGTTCGAATCACTTTGACTGAACGTTGATTTTGTCGAGTTCCTTTATATAAATATCCCTTAAACTTCTGTTAAGAACATCACTATTCCTCACACTATCAAGCTAATATTGTTTACGAAAAGTAAATCCAAACTAATTACAATCGTTTTTTATGTAAACACACTTCATCTCGAGTTTAACACTTTATTAACATATGTAATCACCAAAAAGACTGTAAAAGCTATCACTATTAGTCATTTATTAATTGAACTTCTGCCGTTCAAAACAATATTTCTTTTTAATCAATAGAGCTTATATTGGCAAATTTTAAACATAATTTAACTGTTGTCAACTTACTTTACATTTACTTAATTACATAACCATTTGTTTTAAGCTCTTCCCTCCCTTTCCGAACGCTCTGCGACATACATTTGAATATGATATATAATTATAATATCTTAAGACACTCTTATTTTTGGGTTCTATATTGCTTGGAACGTTAATTTTTTGCTAAAGTAATTAGAACTAAACATGTACATCATTAAATCCCAGCGTAGTCACGTAGAGGTGAAACATTCGAGCGCAAGACCAAAGGTCTTGAGTTTCATTCCCGGTTACTAGGTCGTAGATGCGTACTATTTAAAGATTTTCATGCCAGAACGAAACGACTGCTTAATGCTTCTAAGTTCTCAATGGTTTTCTAACTTAAATTGATTCTTGATTTTAGTGTAATGCTAAGTTGATGACTAATTTCACTTCTCAAAGTAAATTTATGGTCAAATCCATGTAAAGTTTCTAGGTATAAATATTACATTTTGTTAATAGAAATAAATGAATGTTATTCCACTTAAAGTATTGTCTTAATTGTCTTTCTGAATTTATATACAAAAATAATAAACATAATCTTGTTATAACGACCCGGTTGTTTTGACGATTTATTGAACTAACCGTGAACACGTTGGATTGATAGGTTACACAAGATACCTATTTCCGAATCTTTCACTGACTAGATTTTAGAAAACAGATCTGATACATACCTTGATGAATGTATAGACACATTTATTCATTTATTCATTTGAACACACAAATATTGGTACAAGGGTGCACCAAATATATATGCGCTACACGTATAGATACATATATCAGAAAAATCCAAGATATTATTTATTTATTTATTTATTCAATCAATTAAGTATGACTGATTAAACAAGTATTATAGTAATGATAACTCGTCGTAACAGAAATTTCCTAAAGTTTTTATTAACGTTTAAAGCAAATGCTTTTGAGATTACATTTGATTGATTCAGTTGTAAATAAAACGTTCCAAGTAATTTGATGAGACTTACATACCTTTAATTTTAATTAACAAAATTATCTATAACATTGAATATGTTACAAATAGTGACAACGTTTAATTATAAGCTTTAAGGATTATTAATTGAGATCTTATTTTGATTATAAATATTCAACATTTCATTGAACTTTAAAATTTCCCATAGAAATACATATCAACAAAATAGTTGTAAAAAGGTAGCTTAGTTGCTGAAGCATTTGATTTTTAAGCAATTATTAAGGAGTTCAAAAACTTCTCCGCATTCGCTTCTTTTTAAACAGTTAAGTGGAAATATCAGTGCCCATATACATACACATAAAATGTAACACAAAATCCGATCAATTATACAAACCGATACATTGTTACAGAGTTTTTATTATAACGAAATGCATATTTTTAATTCCATTATTAGTCACTATTCAGAATATCAATGATAGGTCTTCTAATTGAACACTATATTCGATTCCTAAGATTTTTTCGAGTTTTCTAGATCTCCCCAACAATCAGTTGTTGAATTTTCATTTTGTTTTATCAAATGACGTTATTTCTTAAATTTAAACCGATAAATTTTCATATCCGTTGACAAACAATTCAAACATTAATTGAAAAGCGTTATTATTATTATTATTATTATTATTATTATTATTATTATTATTATTATTGTACATTTTTATTAAAACACACTTTTTCAGCTTTAACTATAGATGATTATTTTGCATGACAACGAAATGTTTTTTTTCATGTAAAATTCTAGGAGAGAGGGAGAGAGAGAGAACAAGTCGATTTTAAATAATAACACTTCAAGCCATAAACATTTATTATAATTATAATAAAATTCTTGTGAATAAAACAAAAAGAAACATTGAATCACTTACATTCAAGTTCAGTAATTCGGGCAGATAGATTAGAATTTTGACCTTGAAAACTATCTAACTGACTATGTAATGTAGTATTTTCAACTTGTAAACGAGCATTTGTTGCAATTAATTCAGCTAATTGTCGTTGTATTGAAACAGATTGTTCTTGAAAAGTATTAATACGTATTTCTAAGTTTTGATTATTTGCTTTAATATTTTCATTGTGTGCAATTTCATTCTGTAGTGCTTCATTAAGACGTGCATTCTGTAATAATAACAATCATTATTATTATATCTAAAATATTCTTATGAATTGAAAAAATACTTACATTTTATCGCTTGAGTTTTCAGCGTTGGGGAAGCAGTGAAAATCTATTTCTTCCTACTTTCCAGCATTACAAAAGTCTATCAACGAATGAATCATCTTTAAACGAATGGATCAGAAGTTTCATAAACAAACGTGGGTAGTGGTTAGCAGTGGAATCAAGGACGCAACTTTCGTTCTATCTGGGACTCGTCAGCTGGATGTACCTGCATCTCAGAGTTGATGTTCACACCAGGACTTGAACTCGGTACCGTTCGCTTCAAACGTCATCACGTTATCCACCTAACTACTGAGTCCTGATAGCCACATGCTTGTCACTTAAGGCGATATCGAAGCAGTCTGAACAGGATGCACATATGCCAACAAGAGATTGACCAATTATAGTGCTAAACATCAATAGAAAGATTCAAGTAAACAATACCGAGTCACACTGTTTGTATAAGAGCCACTAAGTCAACCTTGTTGCCCAAACAGAAGCATACAGAGCAAGGTTCATACCAATGACCTATCCGATGCTCTAACCATTAAACTACCACTATAAATACAAACAAGTTATTCATTGAAGTATTTGCTCAATTATTTGAGAATGATTCAGAGTACAACGAATCTACCATCAGTTTTCTAACTTCCTGTAACAATAATGGATTAAATGTTCATTAATATGCATAAGACAAATATATTATATTTATTTATTTTCATAGTATTATTTCAAATAATAATTTATAAATAACATAATTAACTTACTTCACGTTCAAGTTCAATGACACGATCTTTTATTTGTATTAAAATTGAAGAATTTTCTTGTATTGAAATATCAGTAGTATTAATAGTAGTACAGTTATTAGCTTTTATTTTTTCATATTCTTCTAATTCTTGACTTTTTATTTTTAATTGACTTATTAATTCAGAATTTTTTAATTGAAGTCCATTAATTTGTTGTTTAATTAAATCAAATTCTTCATTTTTAATATTTACATTTTTAGTTAATTGACTAATAAAATTTTCCATAAATGAATCTATTAATTTTGTTTGTCTTAATAATTAAATAAAAAATAGATATAAGCTGAATAATTTCAATCAAATGAAATAAACTGCTTACCATTGTTAAACACAATAATTAATGTTTACAGTTGAATTTAAGAGTTGATCTAAGCTAGACCACCATTTAAAAACATGGAAACACTAGACGACCGTTTCATTCTAGTATTGAGCTCCTCAGCAGTGCTTACCGACGATGCTGCATGAGAGACTTAAACCCAAGATCTTCAGTCTCCCGTGCAAACACTTAACCTTGGATTACTGAGCAGGCCGCTCAATGCCTCCAGGTTTTTAATGGTGATCTAGCTTAGATTAGTTCATCAATTCAACTGTGAAAATACTGCAATCTCCTCAAATTCTCATACTGACAATAATAATTATTTAGTTTTCATTACTCTAGCTCTTGAACCTTATATCAACAAAACAAAATAGAAATGTTGAAAGCAATGTCAGAATATCAAATAATTTCTTACAGTATCTTATAAAAGGAATTCCCAATTATTAAGGTTCACTATGCTAATGCATATCTATATGATCACCTAACAGTACTTGTGTGGTATAACTGCTTGACATCACGCATAATTTACATGGAGAATGTTTATAAAATTCATAGATTCTAAATTAAACTGACTAAAGTTATCCTCAACATTTCCAATATTCACTAACTATGTCTTAACCAACACTATCAGTTATTTTCAATTCGTTTCATGAGTGGGTCGTGTATCCTGAGGTATAATTTTCAAACTCTAATTTTTACTATATTTGTGTTTTGCATCCAAGATTTTAGACTACGCTATACTGTATATGTTCACAACAGATACCTATGGATAATTCCGCTCTTCTAACTCCTGTTTGCTAGCTTTATTAGCATAACAACTAAATTATTCACAATACTTACATATTCATATTGACGTGTCAATCAAGTACATATATTTTTGTATCAGACACGTTTACAGAGAGTAGATTTCATCAATTTTTGATAAGCTAAATAAAAGGCATTAGCATTATAGTTAGAGGTGGATGGTGACTAACAGAGGAACCCAGGAAACGCGTTTTGTCCTTTTTCAGCTCGTCAACTGAATGCATGTACATCTCAGTGTGTATTCACAATTGGACTCGAACCCAGTACCGTTTGTTTCAAACGTCATTGTGTTATCCACTTAGCTACTAAGTCCGAATAGCTACTAGTTTGTGCAATCGGGTGAAGTTTAATACATTTTTGCATTGGTTTTTCGAATCTTCCCATTGACGTTTAGGACTACCAAGTGGATAATATGATGGCGTTTGAGGTCAATGGTAATGAGTCCACAAGTGAACAGACATTGAGATGCACATGCACCCAGTTGATGAGTCCAAAATAAGACGAAACCCCCGTCTTGGATTCCACTACTAACCACCTTCTACCTCCGTTTATAATGTTTGTGGTCTAAAGTAACATCAAGGCAATCCACACAGGATGCATGTACGCCAACAAGAGATTGATAAACTGCAACTTTACATCCTAATGAAAATATTTAAACAACTCATACAAAAATGAGTTGAAAGACATTAGCGCTTAGGAAATAATGTTCGTTTTATCACATACGCTTAAAATTTTATCATTATCATTGTAAATGATGCATTTATTTCAGTATTCAATAGTAGCAACCAATGCAAGGTCATTTAATTAAAATATATAAAGTTTATGGACCTGCTTCGTGAATTTTTTTCACGCGCTAATTGTTACTGATATTGATAAAATTCAATAATCCAAATAACGAGATGTACACTGAAAACCACTATCAAGTCTCTTTTGTACATAAATCAACGTAAAATCATCATTGTCATAAGTTTATTTCCAGCCTCAGTCTACATGATATTGATTTTTAAACGAACTAAATACTATACAACCTCTAAAATGGATATCACAGCTATATCCTGTAGTGCAGAAACATTACCACTGAAAACTTAAGTAGAAAGTTTACGTCCAATTCATGTTTCTGTTCCTATCAATGATCGTATAATTGGTTATTAACAGAATATTTTAGATGCTAAATGTTCAAACACAACTAAAAATAATCATACTGAACAGACTGATGCCTCTATTAACATCTCTGATGAATTCAACCTTCCACGGAATCATTATCCATTGTGAAAATAGAATCAGAATGCTAAAAAAAAGTATCTACCTAAACAAAGTTCTATCTATTACACTAACCTTTTTTTAATTTCCATAGTGAACAATTAATAAGGTAACAAATTTATTAAACTGTAAAGTGTAAAATAAAACTCAACTCACTCTATGCTATTTTCTTTAGAACTTAATTCCTTGAACCAATTTTTTGATAATCCATACTTTTCTAAACAGACTTGAATACATTTCAATTCAGAACTACGTTTTTGTAACTGGATTTTTTCCATAATTAATTCGTTACGTAAAGCTGAAACTGTTTTCTGTTCAATATTTACCTAGAATAAATAGGAAAAAAATGTAATTGATAAATAGCGATAATAATAATAATAATAATAATAATAATAATAATAATAATTGAAATAGTGGAGATTTGTAGCTCAGGTGCATGATTTCGATGGAGTTTTGTTCTTTGGGCTGGATGGCTCGGTCATGGAGCTGAAGTTTGTGCTGATGATGTCGTTCAGAAGAACTATAAGAGCTCCACAACCAAACCATCCAGCTCAGCGAATAAAACTCCATCAAAATAATAATAATCCTATATCTGATATAATACGCATCGAAACTTTAAAAGGCTTGTTTTAACAATACTTACTTCTTAGATTTACGATTCTCTATGATTTAGTAGTCATAGCTCATGCATATGAACAACACAATATATTTAATAGTAAATGTATGTCTCTTGAGTCATTGAATAAGAATTTAACATCGAAAATCCAACTTTAGACGATTTCTTAAACTATCGATTTTAATAAACTACTAACTACTTATCTTGCATTGTTCGTCTTTGTGTGGGGAGCTGAAATTTTACAAGTTGACTAACCGAATTTAATTAGACAAAGTGTACTATTCAAAAAAGGTTACAAGCCAATGTAACCATATGTTTATTATGTTAGGTAATCGGTAAAATTTTATTCTCTTAAATTCTTTAACTCTTTGTGCATTAAATACCACTTGAGTTTTATGAAATAGGACAATAAATTATATTGCAGTCCTAAATACTACTGAATTTCTGATGTTTCGACATTTGAAATTAGCAACTATTTCCAAACTTGTATTAAAAGGAATGAATATAAATTTCTTATTGTATTGTTTGTTTAAATCTTGTAAGATAATATCTCTTTCAACATTGTATTCGGATTACCATGAATGTTTTGGTATAAAATCGTTCCATTGTGTTTCATCAATGATATCAGAGATATTTATCAATTCAGTCAACTATTCCATCAGTTTTACTATATTGGGGGGTTTCGGGAAATTTTTCGACTAACGTCATGGTTGATTTTAATTATACAACTATTGAAAATCATGAAGTGTTGAATAGCTGTTTAGTTTTAGTGTGACACTCTTCAGCACTATGAATCTTCGACCCTATAGATGTTGAACCCATGATGTTTAGGTCCTCAGGTGAGTGCCTAAACTTTTATTAGTAATTTTTTGTATTTGACAGTCGGTAAAAATATGAAAAACCAAGTTCAATCTATTGATTTACAGTCATTTCTTAATAGAAGTAGCGAAATACTTTTGAATATATCTACCGATGATCAAAAAGTTTACAAACCATTTTTAACCTGAAAAAACAGCAAGATATTTGAAAACATTTTTTGTGACAAAGTGATATCGAATCATTGTAAGGTAGGGATTATTGAATAGCTATTTTTTTTCTAGCATGTAAGTCCGAAATAGTGCACACCTACAACTCTTACAGGTGATCAAAATCAAACCCATATATTCTACTGCGAATACATTATCTAAAATCTCTTAATCCAGTCAGTTCATGATATAGTGAGATGACAATTATTTCTGTCTTGTTCAAATATAGTTGAACTCTACAGCTTTTAGTGTGAACTATTGAAACGTCTAACTCAAGAATAAAATAAATGTTCAGTGTTTCCTGATTTTCAGTAATCTTAACGTTCATAGAATCAATCATATCTAGAAAGTATTCAGTAAAATTTTGTACTGCCAATTTTCTTCATATTCAATAATTAGCTTTTTTTCCACCAATTCTAGGTGAAATACAGACGGATATAAATAATATAGGCCTTTGAATATTCATATAACAGTCTGAGCTACTACATGCTCATATATCAGCATAGGAAAAGTAACAATCTCAATAAATACAACAAAGTTGAACTTTAAAAATGAACACTATTAGCTATTAAGTTCAGCACTCCAGTCATAGAGTTATTCTGTTGAAACATGTTTAGCCAAGTTTAATTGAGCAGTTATCACCATCTGATTCAATGGTCAATGTTAGCCATAAACCTTACTATTAACTAAAATGAAATACTAATAACAGTTCAATGAATACTTTATTTCACAATTAAGAATCCTAAAATTGATAGAATCATCAGGTTTGACAATAATACATCCAACAAAATGCTTCTATTAAAAATTGTTTTTTTAAATAAATGGAATAATCACTTACTTGTTGACGTAATTCGGATCGTTGTTGTTCACCATCTTTCAAATGTGTTTCATTTTGTTTAATTGTATTATTCAATCTTAGAATTTGTGATTCTAATTGTTTAATCTTTTCCATTGCATCAGATAAATGTTGGTCTGTTTCAGAATCCCTTAACTCTCTGCGTAATCTTCGTATTTCTTGATCAGATAGTCGAATTGATGCTTTCAAATGATTTACTTCTGATTCCAATTGACTAATCTTCTGCCTTGATTTCTCATCTGATTCTTTCATAGCAGACCTATTTGGTAGAGAGAAATTTATGATGCAAATTAATATAATTTAAGTTCAAGACCATGTTAGTTACTTGTAAGTTATTCCGGCTGAATTAATAAAAAAACATCCTGGCAATTTGCTAGAGAATCTAATAACAGATTATTAATTTAGAAACCTATCAGTTACAACTATTATGACTATTACTGATATAGAGTTAACTAAGATCCATCTGATGCAGACGTGAAGGCGCGGATCGACAAAGCAAGAGAAGCATATTTACAACTCAAGAACATCTGGAACTCAAAAAAATGTCATCCAACACTAAGGTCAGAATTTTTAATACAACTATCAAATCAGTTCTACTGTATGGGACGAAAACTTGGAGAACTACTAAAGCCATCATCCACAAGATACAAGTGTTTATTAACATCTGTCTACGCAAAATACTTCGGATCCGTTGGCTAGACACTACCAGCAACAACCTATTGTGGGATAGAACAAACCAGATACCAGTGCAGGAAGAAATCAGGAAGAAGCGCTGGAAGTCGATAGGACACACATTGAAGAAAGCACCCAACCGCGTCACAAGACAAGCCCTCCCAGGGAATCCTCAAGGCCAAAGGAAAAGGGGAAGACCAAAGAACACATTACGCTGAGAAATCGTGATAGGCATGGCAAGAATGAACAAAAATTGGATAGAACTAGAAAGGAAGACCCAGGACAGAGTGGGTTGGAGAATGCTGGTTGGCGGCCGATGCTCCATTGGGAGTAACAGAATTAAGTAAGTAAGATCCATAAATATGCTAGACGTGAAAAGTGTTTAAACGTTCGATGAAGAATAATTCATCATTTGTGTATTTATATTAGTGATCTGTATTTAACAGATACATAGGACTGTCTATACGTACGTATGGAGATTTCCAAATCTATTAAATTAGCTTATTAATATGTGACATTTTAGACCTCGATATACTGAAGAATTAAAATGGAAAATTGAAGGTTCATTCTTAGCATTTACAAGTAATATAAATCAATGATTTTCAAATATTTAGTCTTTCCTTTAAGATTATAATTAGTTTTATATCGAACTCAATTGAAATATTTGCTTGCAAATTACTTGAATAGAAGGAGATATATGAACTGATTGAACTTTATCAGTACAACAGATTGATGAATTTACTACAGGTTACTTCGAATATACATTTTAATTTGACACTAATCAGTTCTTCACAGTTTCATTCCAATGTATGGTCATATTTCTTCCTATTCTGTTTTTAAAGCTGGAAGGTAGTAGCGGAAGGCAATCAACAGGAAATCCTGAACCTAGGTTACATGCTATTTGGCAATCGTCAGTAAATCGTACCTGTAATCCTGAGAGAACTGACGCTCCCAGTTTCATGATCGGAGATGTAACCACCGAGTTATCCGAGTAGCAACTGACTTCTTAAAAGAATGATCTGAATTTACAATAGGTTGATCACTGGGTGATGAACAATATTATTAATATCAATTCCTTCTTAGTGAAGATTAAATTCCGTCGATCAAGTTGCAATGTGACCACTAGTTCAGATAACGAAATCGAGTGCATGATGATCATACAGTATAACATTGATTTATTTCGGCTTGATGTTTATTCAATATTTGATCTTCATTGTATTAAATTAACGTGAACTATGTCCAGCATGATATACAGAATGCAATTAGTTATAATTCTGTGCATTTTTTTGTAAGTGATCTTATTCCCAATTAATAATCAAGTAATCAATATATAAATTAGTGTATTTTCGACTAAAGTCGTCGTGATTTGGGATTATTAAATCTTCACTTGTACCAGTCTTTCGTGTTCTTACTTCGTGTCGTGATAATTGTAGGGGTTCCTCGTTTCAAGTATAGGTAATAAGCGACGTGGATACAACGCAGTGCACGCGAAGTCGAGTCACCTGGACTAGTGGCCACATTACAACTTAATCAACATAATTCTATCTGTACTAAAAAGGACCTGACACATGATACTGGTCACTTCACAGTTATTAATTAATTGTGAGTAATTAATTATCTATCCTTACTTCGTTTGAGATTTTCATAATTCTGAATGACAGATGTCATCAAACTCACATTTCCTGCTTACCTGTCTAACTTGATTTTTGCACTCTTCTGACGAGCTATTCTGCTTAAAAATTTAAATAACAGACCGATCAACCTAAATTTGAATCGATGAAGTGGGAATAAAACAGCTCTAACTTACAAATCAAAATAGATATGAATTTCACTTTTTCTCAACGAGTGATTAGATTTCATACTTTGATGACGTTGATGATGGGTGACCCTTGCTTTAATTAACGATATTAGTTGATATTGTTCACCAACTGACAAATAACTACTCTGTATACTTTGATTAGTCTGTCGATAATTTAGTAAACGACATGCTCAACTTTCAGGACAGTTTATTTGTTTTTGGTAAAACGGTACGTTTTTTAAGATACTTTTAAAAGTATTAAGAGGAGAAAATTCACTTATTGAAATACATCCAAGATATTTAAAGCTTTTTCAGTTACCAAGCTGTGTTAACATCTATGATACAACGGTAACTAAAATAAAAGTTAATCACCCTTAAAGTCATTCGGAAACAAACGTTCCTTCTGTATTTAACAAACAGATGAGTCTACTGAAATCACAGTGAAGAAACAGATTCGCATCCTAGCTTGAGCTGTGGTCAGTTAGTGAAAAAATATAGATATCCAAATTTACTAGATATGGTACTTCATAGTATTGCAAATTCCTCTATACTCCGGATTCCACTTTATAAGACTGTCAATAAACGATTAGTTAGGATTATATTCTGGTTCTCAACCATTGGTCGACTCTTTGCATTTAGAGTGCTAATTATTTAATGTACTATTTAGTATCATGGTCTAGGATGCCCAGTATAAATTCGTATTATCTATCATCAAACGCAAAACAATTTCTTTTGTTCTATATCACTTTCAAAGTTGGACATGATGATGTTTCGAAGAATAAGAATGATATTATTACAATGAAAGAAAACACACTTGGAAAAAACAAACTTGAGTTACTATATCCCTTTTAAAAGTTTCCTCTAACATGTTATTCAGCATAGGTAAAATCAATAAAAACTTTGATAGCTAAAATTTTTGTTAAAATAAACTTACTCATGAGCTGCCTCTTCATTTGTTAATTTAGCTTGGATTTCTTCCAGACTTTTACGCAATGTATCTCTTTCTGCTTCTAAACGTTTAATTTCTGAATCCAACCTGCCAAGTTCCGTTTCATAACTGATATATCCTCCTCTACGTCGTCGATCACGATGACGTAAATTTGGTGGCACACTTATGGTTTTTCTGCGTAATTTCGTTACACCTAAACATTCAGGAGATGTTTCTTCTGTTGAATCACCCGTTTTATTACCACTATCAACTTCTTCATCATGTAAACCAACTATTCCACCTTCTTCATCATCAGCTTCATCATTTTCTGACTCTAATAACCTTTGAGAATGAAGACTTTGTTTTAAATTAGTTAGACGTGTTGATAAATTATCCCGTTCCACTTCAACCTAATTAGATATTAAATTAGAAAAAAAGAAACAGTGATACATTGATACAGATGCATAGATAGTTAACATAAACACCAATGACTTCTAGCTTAATACTTTAACAGCAATTAATCAAAATCCTTGTTCAAAGAACTTCACTTCAAAGATTTACACATGGAATAAAACGTGTTTTTTATTAAATACTTCACTTACTTGAGCTGTCTTTTGTATAGCAGCAAACAACGCATTTTGCAATTGCTCACATTTAGTTTCAATTTGCCTCAATCTTATCAATTCATTTTCCATATTTACTGAATTTTCACATGTTGCACGGATAGTTGACAATTGTGTTTGAAGACGTGCACAATTACCTTCTGCTGAGACAAGAGCTATCTCTAGATCTGTTTGTCTACAATTGAATTGGTAAATAGATGATTAAAAGAAAATATATCATTCAATATGTGCTTTTAGTGAAACACCTGTAAAATAATACCTTAATCTGATAAATTAATCGTTTTGATAACTGTTCCTATAGAATTCCCGATGGCGTTTAAATTCCATAAGACAATATGAAGCGATGAATACAGTCTATTATCATACGGCACATATCATAAGACCACCAAACACACAACGCGAATGCGAACGAATAGAAGAATGAGTAAATAAATAGGATTTAAGAACGACATATTTATATTAGCAATCGAATGAGCCATTGAGTGATATGAATAACCAACATTTAAATTAGTAAGAGCATTATACATATGAGTTTTAACACACGATTATAGAAGCATGGGGACAATAACGTAAAGATCTAGATCAACTGTTACCAACACAAATGACATGTCTACCAAGTAAGTTAATTAAAGAGCCTGACGGATTTAAACGTGTGCAAAATCAAGTACAGATGAGGGTGCTACATGCTACATGGATCAAGTCAAACAAATGTGTTCACTTCTCAATAGTAATAGATTTCTTTATAAACATAAGTAATAGCTTACGCCACATGGTTCAAAATATAAACAGTGAATGCTGTATTTGTTTTGATGTGAACAGAAAGAAACAAAATATTTTCCTACTTTAATTACCGTTCAAACTGACTGATTAAAAAATTAATAAAAATAAGAACTTGCACCAATACTAATACATTAAAACCATTCAATCAATTAATTCTTTGATATAGTGAAAAAAATGACCTACTTTGAACAGGCTTCTTTTAAAGCGGTAATTTCACGCTTTGCTGCTCCTAATTCAGCACTTAATTGATTACGTTCATCTGTTAATGAATCTAAACGTTTACATAATTCATCTGCTTTAGTCAAACGATGACGTAATTGACTGATTTCTAGCTCAGCTCGTGCTAAACATGTCACATTATTTTGAACGGATTCACCAAGCACACTATTTTCTTTTTCTAGACGTGCAATTCTTTCATCTGATGAAATATCATTGATATTTTTACCTCTTAAGTTCTGAAAATAAAAAGGAAACTGGTAAATTGTCAAGATTTAATACAGACTGTTCATTGACTACATAAATTAACTTCTGTTTTTACTGGAAATTTATCAGGAAATTCATAGAGTTGGAGGTCGTTAGTGGATTTAATACATTGAGGAGAACAAGTCTTTTCAAATGGAAGCAACATCCTAATAAACTGCAAGAGTGACGCATGGCTAAGATCACCACTGATGTCTTGTGTTGATTAAATCTTACAATATATGCGACCCTTTATCTTTTACTGTGACTTATTCAACATTCAGATCATTATTGATGAAATCAGTTCGGGAACATAGTCAGTGCATATGACTCTAGTAAAAAATGAAAAGATGAAGTTGCAAAAAATCTCACTTCTGTGAACTTCCAGGAATGTTTTGAACAATAGAAACAAAGAAAAAGGGTTTTTCAGAGATATATGACTGATGTAGTATTAAGTTTCTTAAATAAATCTTTCACGACCTTATCTCGCGTATTTATTGAATAGAATAGGATATACGTTATATAAATTTGACAATATCGAGAACAAGGGGAAATGACACACCCCAGAAACAATTAAAACAATCAATTTTATGGACGGGTTTGACGTTAGATGATTGGACTTTTGCTAATCGGTACTCTCAAGTAAGGGGTATCTGCAATTTTGAGGGAACTGATGCGTTCCATGATATTTGAATCCGTTTCGCCTAATTCCCCAGTAACAGGTTTTTTCAGGAGACAAAAAAGCATACAATTACCCACCTTAAGTGTTTTTCACAACAGAAATGAACTTCTTGAAGAAGTTTGTCTCTTTTTATTTCTGCATTTTTTATTTAACGTGACCGGTAAGTTAGAATCCATGCACAGATTCTACATTAATTATACTCCAGAAAAATTATTTTTAAAACATTATTTCACTTTTTGTGAATTATTAGTGAGAGTTATTTACCATTAAGAAATAAATTAATCAAATGTTACTTATATAATCAACTATATAAAGAATAAACCAGTTTCATTGTCCATGTTGGATGGTGGCTATACTATGTCATAAGTTGACTGAATTTAAAAATGTAGAACATTGAATTCCGACTCAGAGGTTTTAAGGTAACACATTTGCCATCATCTAATAGCTATAGGTACTGAAAGTGATTGCTGATGTTCAGTATGAAAATTATTTAGCAAAATCACTAAAAAACAAATATATGGACAATTAATCATAGTGATAATTGCTAACTCACCTTGATAGTTTCAGTTAAATAATCATTTTCACGTGATAACTCACTGATATGTCTTTCGGAAGTTTCTTTAAATGAATTTAACGATTCTCTTGTTTTTCTTGCATCCGTTTCAAAGCTCATTCGTTCTAAATCCAATTGACATAAACGCTCATCTTGAACTGACAAAGCTGTTTCGAGTCTTTCAAGCTAAAGAATTTCATAGTTGTTGATGAAGAGAATATGGAAAAGGAAAATAAACACCATTATAAGCCGATAGTATGAAAAATAATTAGATGAATTTAAAATAACTACTGAAAACTCATAGAGAATAACATAACTATTTCACAGTAGTCCTCAAGTATAGCGAATTTTATGTTTGGAAATCTATTTTGAAATCCCCGAAAAATTTTTAAATCGGTAACTAGAACTGAATCCAATTGCTAGATCTATACAACTAAAATCTACGTATTTATACCTATGTTTGAGTTAAACAGAAAATTCCTCGTTTTTGACTTAAATTTAAACAATCAGTAGAGTATTACGTGGATGATATTGTCTTACTGTGCGATAATGCCCAAGCCATGCAATCCACACTTAATCAGTTGGCAATCAATGTCCGTAGGTACGGTATGTGCTTCTACAAGGCTGGCAGGATTCTAATCCTGTACTCACTCTGGATGGTGAGCAGATAGAAGTAGTCGAGAAGCTGCATAAGTGTTGGTGGTGGCTTGGGCGATGAAATCAGTTCACGTTTAGTGAAAGCCAGAGCGGCTTATGCCAATCTGGACCATCTTTGGCGCCTTCGTAATGTCAGTCTGGCTGTAAAAGGTCAGATCTACAACGCGACGGTGAGAGCAGTTTTGCTCTATGCTTGTGAAACCTGGTCTCTCCAAGTTGAGGATGTTAGACGACTCTCTGTGTTTGATCATCGTTGTCTCCAAAGGATCGCTGACATCCAGTGGCAACACCATGTTAGTAATGCGGAGGCTCGGCATCGTGTGTTCGGGCTCAGAGAAGCTAATCCAATGGATGTCACCATCTTGAAATATCGACCTCGGTGGCTTGGACGTGTTCTACGAATGTCGTCCCAGAGAATTCCTCGTCGTGCATTATTTGCCGACTCTGGGACTGATTGGGAAAAGCGGAGAAGTGGTCAGTATATGACATGATGTCGCGGTATGAAAGAAAGCTGCAAAGAGCTGGCTTCTGTTGGTCCTTCACGACTCCCTGGTTGGAGTCCGAGAGATGGTGCAACACAGTGGCTAGAGACGTTATCAGATATGGCTCAGAATAGAAGCCAGTGGCGATCCTGCTGTAACCTTCTTTTACTTTCTTCATAAAAAAGTGATTGCCTCTTCTTTAACTGAAAGATTTCTTCTGATTGTACCTTTCCGTTTCCCCCATTATTATTATTACACTACCTTACACTAATCTGTTCGTTATTGTTCTTTTTTTCCTTTCTTCTCTCTTACACGCACCTTACATTCTTTTTCTCTACTCATTTTCATTGTTATTGTGTGGCGCATATATATCTGGTACCCCCTTGTACCAATATTTATGTGTTCAAATAAATAAATAAACACCATACTGTGTATATATGGTGGGAACTACAGAAAACTAAAAGGAGTTACAAATAACTATGTAACTTCGTGAAATGACTAATAAGATATGGAATAAAGTAATTCAGTTTACTAGTCAACGTTAATTATTTTCCACAATAATATAAGTGCAATTTATGGAGAAATAATATAAACAATATCTAGACTAAAACTTAATCAACAACACAGAAAAAGTACAAATTATTATTGAGCGAATAGAAGAACAGTAATTATAAAAATAATAATAATTAAGTCATCATAATAACCATAACGAAAATAATGTTTAAAATTAGTAGCTGAAGATAGTATAAAAAAATACAAATAATTAGATGACTTAATTGATAGTTGGTCAAACATTTCGTTGGACGATGTTGAAAAAGATGCAACTGGGTAGTCTGAGTTTATTCATAGTCAACTTCCTTGACATATATTGTGGGGAGTAATTATGATTATCCCTCAATAGTAAAGTGAATTACATTCGTAAAACATATTAAGAACAAAAGCTTAGTGATTGTACGAAAGTCATAGAGAACACAATATGAAATGATTCCGCTTTGTTCCACAATGTCTGCTACCTGTAGTATACAAAAGTTTATCAAGAGGACTAACTGCCTGAGATTAGGTTTTCTCTACTGCGACTTATTGGGAAATCTTATCGTGAAAATCTTGACTCATGTCAAGGAACATCTAAGCTACCTCCGAATAATCCTGTAGAAATCGACGAATAAAAACGGAAATAGCAATACATGGTATATTCAACTACTACCATGTCTATATTACAAATATCCGAATAATTCAAAGACATTTCTCTAACCATAAAGAAAAATGAGTAGCTGAAACACTTTATGTATTGTTAAATCACACTGCATTCAATAGAAAACGAAGTTCTAACTATTCAACCAACTTGGAAAATCTGTATGAATAGTCACACATAACCTACTCAAGACCCCACTATAGAAATAGATAGTTTAAAATAATCGATTACATCACAAATATTGTTATTCGCTTATTCTTATTTTTTTTTCAAAATTAACAATACATATAATCACTTTTACTATGGAATCACTTTGATCTAAATAACATGAAATTAGAATGATCATTAATGTGTGGTGTTAATTTTCCATAACACCATTTAAACTTGTGCTGGTTGCAAAAAGTCACATATTTCGTGAAGAAACAACTCGTCACTACATTGTTCTAGTAACTAATCTTCATTCTTTCTTTTCCATCTTTGTGTGTATTATGCCATACTACTTACGAATATTCAGTAATTAATATTTACTACGAATGATTCTGGCTTCTACTAAATGAACCTTCTAAGTTACAAATAACACAATTTTGAAGTATTTATGTCATAGCAGAACACCTTGTCTATTTTAAAAGCATAGGGACTAATTTATTCACGTTAATCGCTATTACCTGTTTGACATAGCTGCGAATTGTCTCTTGATTCATAATATGTGTTGTAAATTTATTTTTATCTACGTATTTAAATAACACTCCTACTTAATAGTGCTTTAAAGGACATAACTGAAACACAAATATCACACGATTTGACAGTCTACTATGATAGACAAATCTTGTCATATTATGAGTCCCTCAATCGCATTGGGGGTTAGTATTATTTGAAAGGGTTCTTGATATTTGTGTATGTATTCGAGTTCGAAATGAAAATGAGATGATAACTAATGAGATCTACTTCGAAAACAATAAAACCAAGAACAATCATGTTCATAATAATGTTAAACAAGTTTGTCTTTATCGTTTTAACTGCATATATAGACATTAATATATTCTGAGTGAAATTCCATACCATAAATAAAATCCTCATGCATTATAACATAATATCACATTTAATTTGAATTTGTTTCTCTCCAATCATTACCTCACCTTATTAGTTAACAATTGATTTTCACGTTTCACTTCAGCTAAAGATGCTTCTGTCTCAATATTAACTTCATTAACAGACTGAGCTTTAACTAATAACATTTTAGTCACTTCAAGTTCTTTATTTAAACGTCGGTTCACTTCTTCTAAATGATTTAAACGATTTGTCACTGATTCTGATAATTGATCTGATAAACTACAATTCAATCCATTTGATTGTGATAAGAGTTGTTGTTGGTGGTGTAGTTGGTTATTCGCTGAAATCTCGATAGTAGTCAAGTCTTCATCAGTTGCATCGAATGAAATGCGATTTTGTTGTTTCTGTTGTATAATTTGATTACTTTTCTCATTACTATTGTTATTATTACTATCATCATTAGTTACAATGTCTTTTGAATTAATCAGTTTATTAGGTGAATTCATAAACTTTTTATGTGTATAGTGTTCTAACTTAAGTTTTCCTAATTCCTCGTGAAGGTTTTTAATTAAATCCAAATCTGAATTTCGAGCCTTTAAAAAAGAAAGAAAAAGAAGTTTAATTAAAGAAAAGAATTGAAACTTTATAGTAAGTAACAGTAAGTAAAAATGAAACTCGGCTGATCTAATTAATTTTAAACTATTTAGTGAATAATCTAAAACTTGTTTATTAAAAATGAGACAATGAAGTCAACTGAATTTCATGAATTATCCCTATACACTATTATGAATATATTTCTTTGAAATTGATGCGTAGTAAGCAGTTTAAAATGTGAATACCTGAAGAGTTTGTTGTTTTCCTGAAGAAAAAAAGAATCACTTTGTGAATTCTCTTTCGTTGTTAATATTTTTCAGCTTTAGAAGTTATAAGGAATGACCCATAGTTTAAACTGTTAAGTCGGCTTTCCGAGAAATGCAACAGAGCCTCCAGAGGCCCTGAAGGAACCAAAGAGTCTTAGCCAATCAGAGCACGATGGAGCTTTCTAGAATGCCAATGTGGCGTGCTACTATTGGTCAGTAGCATAATATGTCTTTTAGCGGATTGGCCAAAATATGATGTTGATTTAGCAAATGTTAACATCTATAAATACCCATGTTTTTCTGTACAAAAATGAACCTTGGGGTAAAGTACTTTTCGCATACGTTGCGCCTTCTCTCTCGTGTTCAGGTCGCTGTATGGTTCTAGCTTGGGGGTTTTCAAGAATAACTTAGGAATCGAGTATAGCGTTCAAAATCGCAAGACTTATCATAAATAAAGTATGTAATTGAGAAAGTACTTGATAACAATGCTAATAGGGACTACTATTTCAGTCAAAAAAATATCTGAATTTCACACCATTCAACGCCAACCCAGTTGTTATAATACTCAATGATTGTAAGCGAGACGTAAAGGTCTTTGATTCAGCCCATGATGGAGTTATGAGTGTGTACTACTAAGGAGTTTCATATTGGGATAGGATGTAGTGCTCCCTAGTTTTCAATAGTACAGAAGTTGAGATCAATCTGTGAAAGATATAACTCACAAATATTATCACAGTTTTCGAGTTGAGAAAAATAAGAATTCTTGCAGTCGATCCATCTTAACAATAATACTAGACAAAACACTCAGGTTTTCACTGAGATTAGAGTATACAAATAATACTACAGAAATTAATGATATTATTATTAATATTACTGAATCAATCGAATAAGAAATATATTGGTCATCATTGAATTGTTAAGATGCAAATCAGCCAATGATTTATTAGCTCATAAAATAAAAAACCATAACGGTTTCAAATCTATGACTACTGTCTATTATCTAAAAACCATTACATAAACAATAAAATTAAACAATGAATAAATGAAATGAACATGATAGGACACTAGAATTCAAAACAAAACATACATTTTCTGTTTCTGTCAACTGACATCGTGTTTTATTTAATTCTTTTTCTAAATCTGTAATTTTATGATGATATTCATGAGTGATTTCTTCGTTATCTGCCCATTGTGAATGTTCATTAGATAAAATTTCTAAATCTTCAGTAAGTTGTTGACATCGAGCCTGTCAAAAAATAAATAAATAAATAAAATATTTTTTTAAACACCCTTGCTTAATTGTACATAACAACATATCTTTCATTTACAAACTGTTATGATTGAATTGAAGGCAGCAACGTATATATATATATATATATATATATATATATATATATATATATAACTTGATACTCATTCAACAACCCATTCAATCTCATGTAGGATGACAATTAACTGGAAAAAATCAAAGATAACTTCCTTGTTCAAAAACAATCAAAATGCAACCGCTATGATATTGATTCAACATTAACTGACAAATTTACAATATATTCAGCTAACTGAGGCCAAATACCTTAACCATAAGCACTATAACCTATAATTAAATGGGTTATCTATGTGTGAAAAGGAGAAATCTAAGCTGTTAACAGAGAACCAAACGAAAACACATACAAAGTATTTTTCGTGACAGGTCATCTTTTTCCAATAGAAGTGAACTGGTACTTCAGTAACTGCTATTTAGTGTTAAAGTGTTGAAAGCTACGTTAGTAATCACTTTTAACTTGGTTAAGAATACCTTAATTTATAAAATTATATTCTATTTAGTTAAATTACAATCGAGACTAGATACTAACGAAATAAATCTAAAAATTAGTTTACTTTATAATAATCGATTTCATGTAGTCTTTCTTTGAGTTTTTCATTTTCTGCTTCTAAATTAATAACACGTTCTGCTGTTTGTTTTAATGCATCTACTTCATCTTGCCAATGTCTTGCTGTATAAGCTGCATCAGCTAAACGTGCCCGTTCCTCTTTTACTTGACTTAATTCACGACGTGTTTCAAATAAATGATCTTGTAGTTCAACTAATTGATCAGCTTGATCTTCACTATAAAAAATGGAAGAATTGAAATGAAAAAATATGAAATACTTGAAACTCACAATTAAAATTTGATGAGGACTAGTTTGACATGGTTTCTGTTCATCGTGTTGATTTCAAATTGTCATGCTAAAGTCGTATGGTAAACTAAGATAACGAACATTTGTGCTAGACACCATATCACTTATGACCATGGATGACTAACTGACATTATTATAATAATTATTAATTCAACTTATTTGCCTTCTATTCTGTTAGTTCATTATTTCACTAAAGTAATGATAACTTGAAATAAGATGAGCGAAAGAATATCATAGGTTTTTTGTCACTAGGATAACATAGATTAATATGCTTCTCAACGATTTTCTTCTAAAGTTTAATAGAAAATTTAGTATAAGTCATGTCATGTGGATTAATATGATTATGCAACAACTTCATAGTCAAAAGTGAATTACAATCGCAATATCGAGTCACCTAGATTGGTGGTCACTTAACAACTTGGTCGATAGGATTGGATCTGCACACAAAAGGACCTGACACACACAATAATGGTCATCAACTAGTGATCAATCAATTGTGAATTTATTTGTATCATAAGATAAAGTATAAATCATAACTTTTTTTGTTGTAATACACATAAATACATAGAAAACCTATTAAATTTACAAATAGTTTAATCAGATTAATTCAAAAAAGTTTTTTTATAGTCAATCATTAAGAAAACTTAAATAGAATTGTAACCTAGATAGATGATCCATTGAAACTATAATTTATGAATGAATTTTCTATTCTTTTTAATTCAATTAAAGTCCATCAGAGTTAAGGTTATCAGCAACTTTTCCCATATTCAATAAGTATGCTTTATTCATCATTTTCGGTTAGTTCGTCGTTCATTTAGTAGATGAGTGTTATTTATTAGTGTGTAAGTGCAGTTACAAATTTTTTTAAAACCTTAAATTGCCCTATATTTGAGTTTCCCACCCAGTATGTCAGAAGCAGACAAACAAAGATGGTTATAATAGATAGCTGCAGGTAACTCTAGAAGTTTACACTAAAATTTATGGTGAAAATAACTAATATGCAGTATTCACTTATTTAATGCCCAAAAACATGGTCGAAAGTGATGGACAAAATAAATTTATTGAACATTAAGAACGTTGTAGTTAGCCTCATCCGTAGTTCAGTGATAATAATATTAATTCTTAAGAAGATATGTACAAGTAATACTGTTTTGATTTCTTATTTCTTCCTTAAAACTACATAAATTATAATTTTCTTCAGTTAGAAGTGGGATTTGACTAGCTTCAAAGAAAGCTTTCATTAGACTCTTCCAAATAAGAGAGTGGACGAATTAATTCTTTCTAAACTATCATCGATATTTCTTGCATAGCAAACACTTTTAACCATTTCAGAGATTAACAGCACAGAATATTTAAGTTGTATAACTATGGCATGATATTGTTGATATGCTAGATTGTAAATGCTGGCATATTATCATTGAGTATTTATCATTAATTTCGGAATTGATTGGCTATGAAATTACTGTAAAGTGTTTATATCTTTTCAATGAATCACACACAAACCAGTCGTAAATTATTATTCAATCTCAATTAATTTCCTAAGCCTAATGTAGTTACTGTAAATATCTGATTAAGTTTCAATAGTAGATGGAAGACAAGTGAAAAACCAGGAATTTGAAAGATCTTCCTGTTTTGGACTTCCATGTAGTGTAGAACCATGACTTGGTTAGGAATCACATATAATATTTTTAGGTCTTGTAGCTAGTAGCTAGGTTATGATATAATGATCGATATCTTACAACGTCATATGGTTCACAAAAGTGTGAACTTAACCAAATATAGTTACTGAGTACCTCTCCTCAGTCCTGAACTGGTTAACATCATATATTGAACGTTTCCTAAAAGACATTCAGAAATCTATCATAAGGTAATTCACAGATGAGTACTGACCAGTAAGATGGCTTGTGTATCAGCAAGTTTGTAAAGACAATAAAGAAATAAAATTGGACTAATTGATTATTCCGTGATAAATGATGTCATATCTAGTCCTTTGTGTTGACAAATTCTGTCGATCAAGTTGGGATGTAGCCACACGTGTAAGTGATCTAAATGGCAACATACTTTATCTTAAGGGGTTAGAGACAATCGGGATAAAGCAATGAATCGAGATCTAATATTGTTTGGAACTCGTCACTTGTTAGTGAAAAATGAATGAACATAAAGTAGACATTAAACAAAGAATACAAACTTACATTTCAATATGTGCTCGACGTAACTTAGCTTTGGTTTCAGCCAACTCGACCGATAAATGATGCTTATCCGTATCCATTACAAGAATTTCAGGTGTTAAATTATCAGCTGGTGGGTACAAAGAACGGATTGAGTCTAACTCTGTTGTTTCCACTTCTAAACCAGAATCCATTCGACCAATTTCTGATAACTCATTTATATTACTGATATTATTATTAGTCGCAGTATTTTGATTAACGTTATTATCATTCATAAAAACTCCATCATTTAAATGTTCATTAGTTTGTTCAAAAGATTCATTTAAATCACTGATATCCGATTTTTTACGTGACAAAAATGGTTGTTCATCGAGCCTAGGTGTAGATATAGCGAAATGACCATTACTATTACTGTGTGAATTATCAACACCGAGTGATATGGTAGAAACAGATCTTTCTTTTAATCCATTAGGTCCTAATGTTTTAGATCGCGAAGCTAATTGGTACCTTGCTTGTAATGTGATAAATTTGTTTTGTAATGATGCTAATTCATCTAATAACTGAATAATTTCCTAAAGCAATAAACAGATGAAAAAGTAGTACATTTATAGTGTTGTAACGGAATGAATGTTCTGAAAATCTCGTCAAGAGTGCCTTATTTATTAGTATTTCTTAAATTTTTATTTCTGATTTGTTTGTTAACCATTATTCTAGACTTCAGTAGCCACTTTTCATATTTTTTAATTTCTTTTAACCAAGCCTTTGTTAGTTAACTCTGGTTAAGGTGTGCATTTAACTGAGCCTGTAGCTCTTCTAGGGTTTATCCCATTCCTAAGTTCGGATAAAAGAAGATGGTTATAATTATCAAAGAATCCTTCAAGACAGAGGAGAAAATCATAATGAATGTTATCCAGTGACAATTACCGACTATATGATAAAACGAAGAAACTAACTGGGAAATATTGCAAACCAGAATGACCAGTCAAGAACAAAGAAGGTAAACCAAGCACGGAAATTCTAATACACAGGAACAGTTCGGTAGAACACTTTGATGAGTTCATGAATAGACCAGTCCCACTGAACCCATCATACATCGAAGCAGCACCTACGAACCTTCCTATACATGTCACTCCACCAATTATCAAAGAAACCAGGATGACCATCAGACAAATCAAAAGTGAGGAAGCAGTAGGACCAAACAACATATAGGCTGGAGCACTGAAGTCAGACATACAGGTAACTGTAGAGATGCTCTATCTTCTATTCAGGAAGATTTGAGAGGAAGAACAAGTGCCACCAACAGGCCCCAAGGAAGGATACCTCATCAAGATACCAAAGAAAGGAGATCTGAGCAAATGTGAGAACTATAGTGGGACCAAACTACTACCGGTACCAGGAAAATTTTTCAACAGAGTGCTACTGAACTAAGTGAAAGATTCAGTGGACATTCAGCTTCCAGATCAATAGGTCGGATTCCGTAAGGATCGGTCGTGTACAGACCCAGTTGCGACACTATCGATCATTGTTGAACAGTCAATTGAGTAGGACTCTTCATTATACTTCAACTTCCTAGACTATGAGAAAGCATTTGAGTGTGGGTAGAAGAACTTTATGGAACCTTCTTTGATAGTATGGTGTACCTGAGATCTTCAACATCATCTAGAGTTTATACGACGGACTACAGAACAATGTCGTGCATGGGAAACAGCTGACAGACACATTCAAATTGAAGATCGGAGTCAGACAAGACTGCTTACTCCCTCACTTTCTCTTTCTTCTGGCGTTTGACTGGATTATGAAGACCTAGACATCTCAGGGGAAGCACAGAATACAATGGACAGTATGGATTCAACTAGATGATTTGGACATCGCAGATGACCGGGCCCTTCTATCCCATACACACGAACAAATGCAGAAGAAGACAACTAGTGTAGCAGCACCCTCTGCATTAGTAGGCCTCAACATACACAAACGAAAAAGCAAGATCATCAAATACAACACAAAGAGCACTAACCCAATCACACTTGATGGAGAAACTTTTGAAGATGTGGAAACATTCAGGTATCTGGGTAGCATCATCGATGAATAAGGAGGATCTGATGCAGACGTAAAGGCAAGGATTGGCAAAAAAAGGACCACATTCCCACAGTTGAACAACATATGGAACTCAAGACAACTGTCAACCAATATCAAAGTGAGAATCTTAAATACTGTATGGAGCTGAAACTCGCAGAACTACTACAACCATCATCAAGAAGATACAATTATTTGTAAACAACTGTCTATACAAGATACTCAGTGTCCGTTGGCCGGACACCATTAGCAACAACCAACTGTCGAATAGAACAAACCAGCTTCCATATGAAGAGGAAATTGAGAAAAGATGTTGGAAGTACATTGGACATACATTACGGAAATCACCAAACTGCATAACGAGGCAGGCACTAACTTGGAAACCTGAAGAGAAATTGAAAATCCGAAGACAAAGGAACACAATCCGAATAGAATTGGAGCAGATATCAAAAGGGTGAATAGCAACTGGAAAGGATTGCTCAGGAAAGAGTTGGATGGAGAATCCTGGTAGACGGATAATGCTCCACGAGGGATAACAGGAGCAAGTAAGTAAGATGTGCTTTTATTTACTCCATTTTGTTGTTGTATAAACCCCGAAAATTGACAATAAGTTCTTGTTTGACTGAACTCAAGGTTACAGAACAAAGCGTTTGGTTGTTGTTGAACCCTAACTGTTTACTAGAAACATTTGTTGATCAGTCTGATTCCAGCAGACAGAAATTTGATCTCAATTTGTTAGCAATCTTTCTGTTTATTCTCAATTACTTAACAGTTGCATTTATCGACCGTTTTCTTCTGTATAGGAAGTAATTTTGCCTCAGAAAAACTTCTGAGTGTCCAGTGGGTTAATGATGTTATTGAGATTTTTTGATACGGTTTGCTTTCATAACACTGTATCACATAAATTACGCACAAAAATCGTGTTTTGTTATAATCGACGATTTTGGTTAACTCAAAGAAGCTTCATACACAATGCAGAATAACGCAGTAGTTTGGTATAATCAGATAAACCTTAGTTTGTTGATTGTTTTCTGCGTTCAAACCAAATATGTTAGCAACATAAAATATATCACAGTTTCATGAATTTCTGGAATGAATATAGGAGTCGTGTGGCACATTACTGTTATAACAGATAAGCTACTAGAAATTATCCAAGTATACCTACTGGATTCAAAGTCAATAAATATTTGTGTGGTCTCATTTACACATCCTTCTATAAATGTTGCAGATGTTATCATTCAAAGCCAATCTATTCTTCGTTTATATATATATATATATCACCTTTTTCTCTTTCTTATATCATATTTCGTAAAAAAATTTTAATTACAAATGTCGAAAGTAACTATTCTTTGAAAGATTAAACTTTATCAACCCTGAATTCAATGATAATTTACAAATAATAAGTAATTGATTTCCAGAAACTCATATGATTTCTGTGTAAATGGGCATTTTTTTCAATAACTCTTTTCAGAATAGCATACCTCTAAATAAATATCTTCAAGTTGATTGACTACGGATCGAAAGGTTCGTAAAATATCAGCATCAGATGATCGAATTTTTTCAAAACTTACGATACTTGCCGGACATTCAGTAACCTGTAAATTAAAAAATAGAATATCGCATGATAAATTTTAATTTGAAACGAAAATATTAATAGTAGTACGACTATAGAATGTAATCTATAAGTAATGGGATGCTTAAATTCGTCAGCAGGAAGTCGTAACTCATCTATGTATTCGTATTATATTGCATTCGTCCTCAATAATTGAGAAAATTGTCCTATCTTAAACATTCTGTATAGTGTCACTCTCCAATTTAGTCAAAAGAAAAGTTATCCACTACAATCTATATTATAAAAGAAGAATAAGTGGTGGTTTGAATGCTATATTTTGTATCTGAATATTCGCTACTTGGATGTGTACGGTCATTTTCTAGTATTATTAGACAAAGTGGACTTAAAGATATCACTCATAGATGTACGGTCGAAAAAAGTGAATCTTTGCTTTTGAAAACACTTTGAACATAACAATTTTTAACCGTCCAAGTGATTTGGAAATACCTTACCGCTATCCACATCAACCTGATATACTAATTGAAACGAAGAAAGTCTGTATGACTGAAAACACAACGAACTCTGATCAACTGATGTTGTAAAGAATGTGAGAAGCTATCAACTTGCTCTATAAGGTTCAAGAGAAAATAATGAAGTGAAATGACTGAAGATTGATTAATCTGGACCAACTTTATCCATGGTTTTTGATAATACTGAAGGGCAATTCTAACAACTATATAAAAAAGCCAAAAACCTCAAAATTTTAACTTATTTTTATTTGATACTTTAAGCTACTATGTAACAGTATGAATCTAAAATATATAGTAATCAGCCGTCAGACCACACACCGCGTATCATGAAATGCGTATTCGACAGCTACATCTCACTCTATTTTCAAAAAGCCATAAATGAATCTCGGCATTGTGAACAGTAGGATCTGATACAACAGTAGCTTATGAATGGACGAATTCCTAACAAAAAATACGTAGTTTGGTCTTTTAGTGCGAAAAAATAACTTGATATATTCAATTGTTTGAAAGACTATTTTCACAGAGTTAGCTATATTAGTTCCAACCTTAATATGCAGAGTTGTTTTTTAATACATGTAATATATTTAAATATGATTTTACTGGAAGTGAAAATTGTTCGAAAATTGATAATGTAGGAATAAACCTCCACCATATTGTTTATTCTTCATAATAAATTGGCTTCTGTCTATAAAACCATGAATACAACTACGAAATCTCCGACTAAATACAGAAGCAAAGTAATAATATGAGTTTTCTGAGATCAAAAGCATCTTGGATAGACACTAAATTACAACAGACATTACATTTGAATATATAAATGGATGAAAAAATAAAATATTCCTAATTTATTATTGAATAAGGAACTGTGAAAAAGTTAAAGGTCAATTATAACCAATCAAGATCGAGGTTTACAGGACAAGCTAGGAGTCATATGTGGAGAAATTCGAACACTTCATTTCTACTTGAAGTTTGTGCTGATTTCGTTCAGAATAACGATGAAAGCTACACGACCAAACCGTCCAGCTCAAAGGACAAAACTCCACCTGAGTTACAAATCTTCACTATTGAAAGAGTTTATCGGAAAGAACGAGATAAAAGTTGTTACTTACATTTTTAATACATGTCATTATACCAGTCTGGACGTCTGGATTTAAATTCTCCATAATTTGACGAATAAAATAATCACGTCGATCACATCGTACAGCTGCACATAATAAGTAAAGTAGAATCTTTTCTAATTCTTGATCAGCTTGAGCTGAAAATACAAAGCACACAAAGAAAACATACTTTTTTAAATTAAGAATTTCTACTTAATTCTGATATTATTCGTAAAAGAGGAGTACAAGTCATTTTTGTATTAAGATAATTTAGAATGAAAGTAATGATGATAGAATAATCCAGTATGTTAACCGGTGTAAACCAATAACTCGATACTTCAAATGCAGCAATTTAGTCTTGTAAAAACTTAAGCTTTTCCTCAAGACTAGTTATTTATATACATATAATGCAGCGGAAAAACCAATAATTCTCTAAATCATCAGATATGCTTCATTTTGACCGTGGTTACCCGCAACGGTTTTAAAGTTCACTAAGGGGATTGTACCCAATATTATTGATCATTTTTCCATCCACTTAATAGGTGAAAACATTTTTCTAAATAGTATTACCAAGCCTATAGTTGGTGGTCTAATTAGATCTTTGGATTATAGGATTTTCTAGCTGGTATCATTATATTTCCAGTTACCTTACGATTATTCTGTATTATAATTAGTTAGACGATATCGCTTAATATAAAGCAAGATCTAAATGTTCTAGAGAGTTGTATGATTATCAATAAATTGATATATTTGTAATATCCCAATGAGTAGAAAAAATAAATTTTCTGACATTTCGCGACTTAGTGCAAGCCACTTCTTCAGAGAATAAATAATTATATGGTTCTCAGATTTTGCTATGATATTCTGTAATGTTGCATTCGAAAACATTCTGTTGTCCCGATTGGCGTTCTTGTTCACCACAATAGTGCATTAAATTATAGTTCTGATAAAACAGGCCGTTGTCTTATGAATTTCGATTTGGCGCGTACCTTAATTGTGCAAGTGGAAGTTTCTATAAAACTAGCAGTGCTTGTATTATTATCTGATTATCTTTGTAACATCTTATGAAATTCATTAAACAGATATGGAAAATTAATAAGTAAACAATGATTACTTTATAATTACGCTATTGCTTGGAATGAACCCACGACGTTTAAATGTTATAAATAATAAAACAATTCCATCAGCTTAAAAAATATTGTTCGTTATCAAAATTATCGAATTAAAATTTTCAAAACAATAACAATAATAATAACATAGATGACTAACAGTGTATTTCTTTTAAAGATAAAACAAGAGAAGACATGAATTCGAAAATAACCATAGGTATCAGGATTCATAGTCTATGGGATTCAGAGTCTCTCAAGTATGCTTAACTCTGAGTCTAAATGCATTGATATAGAGCCTCGTTTATACAGCCTGTGGAAATGTTAATAAGTTTTGACTCCTTACTATCAATCACAAGTTCTAGGCCTCTTCCGTCACAGGAGTTGTGGAAATGTTTTGTTCAGCATCTAGAGACCTCCTCTTCAGACTGTATTGTCATGGCGAATGTAAATGGGTAATCGACAAACTCTGATAAATAAGGACGGAGCCGGTGATGATGGAATACTTCGAAGTAAAGGAGTAGTGGTTCTAGGACATTTACCCCGGCAAAGAGGTACAGAAGGGGCGATATCGGATGCCCAGACCACCTACAACAACTGAAACATGTGAATAGGCTACTATAGTATCCGAAGGTAGCCTCAACCTTTTTCTCACCAAAGTGTGAGTCATCCGATATATGGTTCTTAAAGTGTTCTTATGAACAGCAACATATGTTGATAAATATGGTAGTCTCCCGAATAAATCCCCTCTAAGAATTTTCATTCACTGTTTTTTTATATGAGCAACCTTCATCAAGTAGTCTTGTAGCCACTCTATGTGATTTACTGAACAACAACCTGTTATATTATCTTTGCTTATTACTTATACTTGAAAACGAGGAACGATTGCAATTACCGTGACGCAAAGCAAGAACATGGAAGACTGGTACAAGTGGACATTTCTCCACTCCAAAAACATGATGACGCTAGTCGAAAATACACTCATTTATGTATTGATTTGTACAGCTATTTGTTTATTAAATAGAAAAAAGTCACATATGAATTTATAACAAAATCTCATGTTACATATCACACACAGCATACTTCATGTTAAATTAATATAATACCATATCTTGAATAAACATTACACTGAAGTTATACCGAATAAAATAGCACACTGAAAAGAAAACAAATATTACACCGAATAATCATCATACCGAATTAACAACGGAAGCAATATTGATCAAAAATCACGGTGAGTCAAAATGTAATTTTGCCCTTTTATCCCGTCATCTCATGGCCCTTGTAGTTAAAGAGTACATCGAGGTATTCAAATATATGAGTAGGTGTTACCTAAAGAACACAGGTTCCACCGATGGAGAATTGGGTATTCACAAGCACCGTTAACTTATTATATCTCCCAGAAAGTAGTTCTATAGTTCTGATTTTACAGACCAACCTGCGTGCTTCAATAACTATGTGACCTTATCTAGTTCCTTTTGAAATAGTGTGGAATACAGGTTAATTTTAACAAGGCTGTTTGGGTAGGTAATGTAATTCAGGGCCTCTCCGTTCATATTCAGAGGAGTTAAGAGGTCAAGGCTCTCTAGCATCTCGTGTACGACCATTATCAATAACAGTGGAGATACGGGATCCCTTGTTAGACGACACTCAACGTTGTTGAAACGACTATGAAAAGATTGATAACAATTACTAAGATAGCGGCAGAGTAGTTCAGGGACAGCTCTAATAATAGACCTATGATACCGTTCCAAAGGCTCTCGAAACATCTAGAAAGGTCAGAGACGTACCAGTATTATGAGTATGTATACGTTGCGACACAAATTATAACCGACTGACGGTTTCGACGCAACCGTTAAGATTAAGGAAGGTAAACTGAAGGTGTCTCTACAGAGAGGGTTTTGAAAATCCACTTCAAATTAGTTTAGAATGAAAATCAACTTTAGAATTTAAATTTGATCAGCCCTACTTTTTTCCTGTTAAATATTTTTAGGAATGTAATTTTCTTAGTGCCATACTTCTAACTAGAATACAATGAGCATTTAGAAGTACATTGTTCGTCACCTGTGTTATTATTATCATTATTCTGTGTTTGCTTGTCTTGGTAGTACCATTAGCTCTCAGACTTATAGTATAACTCGTGGTGAAGTATACAAATTTATACCTGACGAGTTATTGAATAGAAAACTGAAGTTCTAAGTCGTAAATAGTTAAAGTTTCTGCTATGTAAAGAGTATTAAAAAAACATATAGGTTGATTTGACTTTTCAAATACTAAATAAAATTATCACTAAGAAAGACTAATATTGTACAGTTTTAAGCATCTATGTCACTATCTACCATTTCGATAATTTTATTTTGTAGCACATTTAATCATAGTATATATACACTTCTAATTTTATAACTATTCATAATTACTTTCCCTGTAATTGGCATTCAAACATCAAAATTGTATTAACCTTTTAATGATCAAAAATCACAAAAAATATTATAATCTTTCAGAACTTCTACTCCCAGTACTACTAATCCTGGCGCCTAAATGGTATTGAAAGCAGAAAATAATACAGATCAAGTGAACATTTTTTCTAAGTAAATTATCTTCATCATCAAGTCACAAAAAAAAACAAAAATTTATTACAGAACAATGAATAAATCTAGTTTGTAAATAGTCAATAAAACATCTCTGCTTTAATACATTAGCAAATTCCGACATTAATTATGCCGAAAAATCAATATCATTTATAAGTATAACCAATGCGAACGAAAAATTCTACACTATGAATTTGTAATGGATAAAAAAGATGTGCCCTCAAAAGATTTGAACGTGTTTGTTCGTAACTATTAGACAAAAATAATAGCATAGATCATAGTTTATATCCTCAGACCCTACGGTAAATACTCCATCTTTTTTTAATATAGCCCCAGAAGTGGAAGTCCTGTCAAAAGAAGGTTGAGGATTGGACTGAAGAAAACAGAAAACAACTTAAAAGTACGAGAATCATGAAGTATGTAAAAAACGATTGATAGAAGATTTGCAAATGAAGTATTTAATATATGGTTTTCACATTTTACCAACAACAAAAAAGACTCTGTAATTTTGCGTTAAATAATAAAATTGGTTGTTTCCACCAAGTCTTCATTCACTACAGTACAATCAACTTTTAGAAATCGATTTTGGGTAGAACGAAGTTCGAATACGTAACCCCACAGTCATATACATTAAATATTAGTCTGTTATTTCACTAAAACATCTACAATCACTGTATAAATGAAATCGATAATATTTCTTTCAATGGTTATGAGATATACTATATCAATAAGTACCAAGCAACATGGATTCTAGGCTTAGGATTTTCTGCTGATTGCTTATAATCACTTTACATCTACTGAACTGAACAAGTATTAAGATATTTAATGTTTTTCGAATAATTCACTAGAGATTTAATTTAACAATAAAACAAAATCAAATATATTAACAACTTGAAAGTTAATAACACTTTAATACTGAACATATTATTGGTCAAAAAAAAGTGCACCCTAGTAATTATTATTACTTAAATTGATATAAGCAGCGTTCAAAACTTTGACCTTAAATCAAAAGTATACAATATCAATTAGTTAAAGTAAGAGGGAGTATAAGAAAGAATTTTAAAATTGCAGAAAAATGAATCAGTTAATCATAAGACTAGTATAACAAAAAAAAATTTTAATGCTTATTTCGCGTTTTTTTTAATTTTATTATTGTTCATTAGAACAAGGATAATTGCTATCTTACTTAAAAGTTATTTCCTCTCAATTAGACGAGAAGTAAAAATTTGATTACAGTTTTTATGTGTCGTTTTTTACTACTTAAATAACACGTAATCAGTAGTATGATTTATATACTTAAAAGTTCAAAGATAAAAGTTATCAATCTAATGTTCTCTTTTAATATTATTCCATCATGGAAAACCTGAAAGCACTGGACAGTCGTTTCGTCCTAGTATGAGACTCCTCAGCAGTGCGCATCCACGACTACGCTTCCACAAGATCCGAACCCAGGACGAAAGGGCC